TTTGGACCATTTGATATACAAACGAAACAAGTAACTATATATTAAGTATCATTCTACAGCCCACAAGCTTTTCGACAAGCAGTGATTTTAAATCTCTGTCAATGATTCTCATTTCAGGCTGTCAGTAACCGCTAAAATGTTACCACTAATTATTGGCGGTTCTTTAAAAATACCTGGGGTATTTAAATTTCTTTTTTTTCGACCAGTGGCCACAAAACGTCAGTCTATTTTGTTTTGTATTGTTCTCAGTTTTAGACTTGATATTGCTTGTCCATAAGTAAGCACCACAATTGACCACTCCAGAAAATACCATAACATACCATAATGCTCTTTGTTTGTCACCCAAAAATTTTGCATAAGCATTGTTTTCAGTTTCTCTTGGGGCCATTTTAACTCCCAAGAGAAACTGAAGACAATGCTTATGCAAAATGTTTGGGTGACAAACAAAGAACATTATGGTATGTTATGGTATTTTCTGGAGTGGTCAATTACCATCGTTTGGCCTCCTGGACTGACGTGAAACCAATGAGACGAACGAATGAATATCCGCATTTATAGAGGTGTCCCTATCTATTCATGGAGGTAGGAATTGAGGCTCTAACTGAATGTAACCGTCAGCTGTAGAAAAAATGTCATTTTTTTTACCGTCAACTGTCAAAAATGCAGATAAATAACCGTCATTACGTTTCAAGGTATTTCAAATCTCGATCTCACTATTTCAGCTGATCTTCACGGACTTCTTGCTCCTGACTGCTCCTAAAGAATTTCTAAACTAGAAATCCTGTAACCATGTTCTCAAAAACTCTCTCTCTAGACATTAACAAACCGTACAACTTGCTTAACTTATATCTGAAAGTGTTTGGAAATTTCATGAGTAAAAGGCCTAGTGAACCTCCAGAACACAACAGTTGATATTAACTATCGCTCCATTGAAAGAAACCGGCCGGTTTCCGGAATCAGAAAAATTTTTGCTTGTGGAACCCGGAATCCTGGGTTTTGGAATCCGGAATATAGCTCAAGGAATCCGGATTCCCACTAACGACTGGAATCCAGAAACCAAGATCCACTGACAAAGAATGGAATCCAGTACCTGGAGTCCAGAATTCACAGTGTGGAATTCATAATGCAAGACTGGCTTGGATTCCCTTACATAGGGCGATAATTAATTCAGAAGCTAATACATTGCATTTTCTTAAGCTAAATTGCCATTTAATCAGTTTAATAACCGCCAGCCGCCAAAAGCTCCAAACTTTAACTGTCAGCCGTCTGCAAAATTGGAAAAAAATTAACCGTCTACCACCCAGTTGAGACCCTCGGAACTGTTACCTTCGCAAGGTTGTAGAACGAGCCTGTGGACTTACCGGACCTCAACTTTCTCATTCTTTGGTTATTCACAATAGTACGTAGCCTTCGTTTATAAGTTTTTACTGAGTTATTACTGAATTGAGTACCCTGCATGTATTCTCTAAGGTCGCGGGGGACGCACGGTGCTTTTAGTATTGTTATGCATTTATTTAAAGCGTAAGCACGAAGTAAAATTAACTTTTTTTTGTTAAGAATTAGATATCGCCAAAAAATATCAGTTTTTGCTAGGAATGCCTTTAGAATATCAAGTTTAACTTTAGATAGTGTCCTGTATTTATTGCCTATTTATTGCGAAACAGTTTGGGGTCTGAGGTCTTTAAAGGAAATTCCTAACTGGCCTTAAGACCCCGCAAGGCACAAGCACTCCGCCCTCGAAAACACGTAGAAGTCTGAAACGGCCGATTTCGGGAATAAACGCCGACTAAGGAACAATAATAAGTCAGAACTACTCACAGGTAGACTTAAACGTTGTTTAGCGAGTTTTTTTATGGTCATCCTAAGAGAGTACGCCAATAGGCAAATAGAGATTTAACTCTTTTGAGGAATACGATGACGGAGATTTTCGATCGCGTTTTCGCCTTAGAAAGGACTCGGTCTCAACATCAAACAAGGTGAGATCTTTTCCTCCAACAGTTTTTCTTTGTGTGTACTTTAATTGCGTGTTAACTTTAGGAGATGAATTTTTTTGCATTGTTTCCCCAAGCCTCTGCCTTCTTTCCCTGCTCATTATCACGGTATCCTTTATTTTTCACTTCTGGAAATTTTTTTCTAAATTCCGCGAACAAAAGTTTTCTTCCTTGCTCCTTAAAATTGGGTTTTCTACCGGATTTAGAAGACGTATTGACCCCACTGAGCTGTTATATGGAAATGTAAAAACAAATAACTGCAAAGACAATGTATTTCCTTGAGAGACTTTGTTTAGCCATGCATTGACTGTAAAAAATCGGTTCAGTCACGTTTTAAGAACGTATTTTGCCCGTAGTCGGTAGACTACTAGGAGCCAATTTCCGAAGGAGATGAGGATTGCTTTTTGAGGTCTTTTTTGCGGGGGCTTCGAGTAAGATTAGTGTTATTTAAATCTAACAGCGCTATCGGTTATTTTACTGTTAACCGGTATTTCAAGGCAAGAATCGTTGTTTACATTGTTGATATTTTCATTGCAATTGGCTGAAAGGTTTTTTCACAGCTTGGGGTAGTTTTTGTCATACAATTTTTATCAGCTCTTGAATGAAATTCCGGTTATCTAGCAGTCGCTTTATTTCACTATAGGCCCTTTGCAGGTTGCCATTCACGTGGCACAAAACCCGCCCCGTGCTGGAGAGCAAAAGTCGCACTGGGACACGACAAAAAAAGAAAATTACCATTTCAACACGTCTTTTGTTTGTCTTGTCCCAGTGCGACTTTTGCTCTCCAGCACGGGACGGGTTTTGTGCCACGTGAATGGCAACCTGCAAAGGGCCTATTGTGGTATTCACTGTAACGTGGTTGTGTTCTAAGCCTTCTTCTAAAACACATTTTTACTGACATAAGTTCACTCGGTGTTTGGTTTGAATGTAACTGATCATGATTCTTTTATAGATGGCATCATTTGTGTAGTGTAAGGTATCGCCTCCATGGACTCTATGGTTCTGTCGGATCTCTGCTGGCAGTAGCTTACCGTTAATCATTGGCTAAGAAAGACCTCTATACAAGGCAAATATTTAGTTTACTAGACCATGTATTAACACGACATTATTTTTCCAAAAAAAAAAAACATTTACATCTCGCATAATAGAAAGTGCAACATCATTTTTGAAGGAAATATTCTTCCCAGGGGTAAACAACCAAGATGAAAAAAATAATGGAAATCTCAGGAGGCACATATAGAGGGGGTATGACAACCGCGCGGAGATACGGAATTTCTCTTCGTGAGTGTTGAAAAAAATTTCATTGCGTAAGCACAGCAAACGAGTGAAATATTTTGAACACGAGAAGAGAAATTTGTTATCTTCAAGGGGCCATGTAATGCTCTTCGTATTATACTATAGTTATGGCTATCGCTAAGTGCCAAAGAGCAAAGATTTTACCTATACGCGCGCGCTGTTCAATTGGTTTTGAAATGTCTTCATGAATTCTCGTATATTTACGACCAATAGTTTGAACTCAATTCGATTGCCTAAGCAAAAATTACTTTGAAAATAGTGACATAAAATGTTCTACTTTATAGAGAATTTGAAATCCCAACCTTACATAGCATATTTTTCGAGATATTGAAATGTGTTTTTTTTGGTCTGAAGTTACGCACATGCAGGTCATTTTGCGTAAAATTTAGTTGTCTTATAAGCAACTTAGAATCCTCGAAAAATAATTAGTACGCAAATAGTCAACCTACAGATTTATATTTAGTCTCATATTAAAGCTTAGGAAGTCTACTTTTCAGGAAAAAATGATTTATGGTGCGCCGACGAAGCCTTTTGAATCATTTTCACAATGAGTTTGCAGCGTTATTACTTTTCCTTAGCGGCATAAACAGGCGGTGTATTTGGGTAAAATATTTTGAACTCAATTCGATTGCATAACCGAAAATTACGAGAATGGTGAACTAAACTGTTCTACTGCATAAAGAATTTGAAATACTGACTTCACTTAGCATATTTTGACTCCATTTTTCTTATATTCTCTGTTCTGCATTACGTCATAAAAGTTACCTTACTGACTACCTTATGTTACATCGCTTCGAGATTCACCCTGCCTTAGAACTTTCGCGCACGGCTATATTATATGCTGCCGCCTCGCACGCAGCATCGCGCCTTCGCGTGGCTGATCGTTGGCAATAAACACCAGTGAAATACCAAACAATTTCACTTCAATATGTTTTCTGCTGCAGAAGACGCGAGTCTCTTGTAGCCATGGCGACCTTTTCACATGTGAAGCCTTTAACATGTTTTCGCGCAAAAGCTCACCTTGTATTTCATTGGTGTATTTTCATTACTATTTTATTTTCAATTATTAAAAAGGGGCATTAAAGTTTGAAGTAACACCATATCATTCTTCAGCTCCAGAGGGAACGTAATTTCATCCTAAGGAAAAGGAACACGGGCAGACAGGATTTTATTTGGTGTTGTTTTTGATCTTTAATCCATAGCCTTAAGTGTTCAGTAGTCCATTTTACAGTTTTGTGCTTAAATAGCGAGGCTGGCAAAGCTAGTTCTTGCTTTTGTAACATGTCAATGTCAGTCTCAAAAAACATGAACTGAGACTGAAAAAATCTCACCAGCTCGAAGAGGGCTTGAAAATTGCATTAAAAATTAAAAATTAATGCTTTGAACATTTTCCCCTATTGATTTGGTTAAGATGCATGCGTTAGTGTCTTCACAATTTTAACCTAAATCTCCATCTAAATATCAAATGCATGCAAACTCGAAGTATTGACCTCACTCCAAAACAATTAAGCAGATATTTAAAAAAAAAATTATAACTAAATATTACGTCAAATCCAGCCCTACATGTACGAGTAACTTTTTACGAAGTAAATAGTATTAAGCGAAATTCAGCTCAGCACTCTAATGTGAACCAATAATTAACTGCAACAATAAGCTGGAAAATATTTCGCCATACTTTTAACTAAGATTTAATCCAAGGAATTAGACAACGGTTCAAGCACCAACGGACATAGCACCTTCTTCTCCTCCAGCATTGGACTCCTCGATAGGTTCTGTAAAAAACGAGAAGATAGAAACAAATTAGAAAGGCTAATGACCCACAAATAAGATACCTTCTTAAAAGGTAAAATATTTTTGGTTTCCTTCACGAAAAAAAAAGGCTACTGAGGTCCTGAGAGAGGTTTAATTATGCATTAGATATTTCCACTTCTCAAGTCCTTTTTTAACGTCCTTTATTTATTTTATTTTATTTTATTTTATGTGCCACACAATAATTACAAAAAATATAGGAAAAGAAGAAAAAAAGAAGTGGCGAGGAGACCTAACAGAAACTATAGGAGCTTATGAGAGGTTAGGCCTCCTCGAACTATGAGCTAGAGCTGTTTCACATCAATTGAAGAAAAGAAGGTGAAAAATCGAAGATGGAAAGATTTATAAACTGTTTTCATACTTACTCAATAATTTAATCTTCAGGTTTTTCTTAAAAGAAGAGAGGGTTGAGAGTTGATGACCTTGTTGTCAAGTGAATTAAAAAACTTAGGTCCTTGAAAAAAGCGCGAGAACTTCTTCGTGTTTGTACGACAATACGGTAGACGGTAGGCCTGGGAATTTCTTGTATTGTAAGAGTGGAATTGATTGCTTTGAGAGAAATTGTTATTAAACTTTGGAGGTAAGAATGAATTTTTGCAAGAATACATAAATTGGCCCTGTTCATGAAATTTTAGTATACCGAGGTCCTTAAAGATGGGGTCAGTATGAGCATTGAAATGTGATTTATTAATAATTCTAATAATGCGCTTTTGCAGGATAACAAGGCGGCGGAGATTGGTTTTATAGGTCGAAGCCCAAACGATATTGCAGTAGTAAAAATAAGGATAAATTAAGGAATAGTAGAGCATACGTAAAGACGATTTAGGAAGAAGGAAGCTGCATCTAGATATTATACTGATTGACTTCGCAACTTTACTTGCAACGTGTGATATTTCCGACTTCCAATTTAGGTTTTCATCCAAAATTAGGCCTAGACAATTTGTCTCCTTTACTTCAACAACAGTTTATTATCTATACTTATTTGAATATTACAAATTGAACACTTTTGTCTTGGTTTAAAGACCATAAATTTAGTCTTTTTAAGATTTAGAGAAAGTTTGTTTGCTTTAAACCAGATTGACAGTTTGTCCATCTCCAAGTTTAACATATCTGAGAGATAGTTCAGATCTTTATGTGACATGAATACATTGGTCCATGCATGTGTACAGACTATTGTCTTAATGAGCATATTGCTTAGCTAGTATTAGATGCCTAGTCAGGCCAGCTGCTTTTCTCAACCGCAGTGGACGTCTCAGTTAACTGCTTTGGGCACAACACGAACCCCAAGCAGTTTTCTATTTTCTAAAGGCGATCCCAAATTTAAATTGTATAATTATATAATTATTTTTTTCTCTAAACATACGCATAAAGCGAATAATACTTACTAGGTGTCTGATAAGTTGGCTAACACAATGATAATCTTTAATGGTACACTGATGTCATGTTATGACATCATTAATTGTTAAATGAGGAACTGGAAACAGCCGCAATCTTTTTATCTACGTTTTTGAATCGATTAAATGCGTTTCACTTTGCTTAAAACTGAGGTAAATGTTATATAAAATTTGATCTGTGTGTATAAAGATGCAATTAATTGACAAAAAAAAAATATTAAAGAAAGAAAAATCTGCAAGTAATGGATGTTGAAATTGGATCCAGTATCTACCATTTGGTCACTTTACATTCTTGTCTTTGCGCAAATTAATCACTAACAAACCTGGACTCACTGGCGCCCACTGCAGATTGGGCAATTAAACAGCCGCTGGTTATGTTACATCGTTCAAGTCCCTTAAAGACACATATACAGCAAACGATAAAATGATGGCATTACTCACCTTCTTTAAAGACAGTCAAGTCCATAAAGGGTAGATCACCGCAGTCGACTACACGATTGTCAACGCCGGGCACATGTATGTTTCTGTGTAGGAAAACCCATGGATTAACGCGAGGCACACCATCGGCATTATCACAGATAACTTTGGCAAGGGTCGAGTGTCGTATTTGGTCAAGTTGTTCGATGGTAAACCCGGTCTGATGATCATCTCTCTCATACCAAAAGCGGTCGCCATCACGGAAAGCTCTGAATTGCCGGGCTATAAGACATGTATAGGTGGGACCAAGAGCACTTCCTGCCTGGGCATACTCACTCATGCCACCCGCGAAAAGATCAATGTCAGCCACGTCTTTGTAAACACCAGATCTTTTAAGTCTATCTACTTGAGCTCTAGGAATAGTATCAGTGATATCTTCAAAATTAAGGGCTGGATTTCCCCCGCAAGCTTCTCGGTACTGGACGTAGCCTGGTAAGCCATGATCTCTGCCGCGTATCATGTTTATTGCTGTTAGATCACCAACAATGCCATTAGGCGGTTCTCCTTCAATTATCAACCGTTCTCTTATTGCTGGATCGAAACGTCTAAAAAAAGAAACAAAAAAAATCATGACATGGCAAAAAGAATGAACCAAGATAAAAAGCAAACAAAAAGTGATCACGAATATTTCAGTTATTTTGGGGGAGAAACAGCCGCCCGGTTAGCTCAGTTGAGAGAGCGCCAGTCTGCTGAGCGAGATGTCGCGATTGAAACCCCGGCCGGATCAACCCTCAGGGTCTTTTATTAATTTATTAAATAACTGAAAAGAGAGCACTTCATTTGTGATGATATCTGTTAACGGTTAGACTTTCTAGTCTTCTCGGATAAGGACGAAAAATGTAGGTCCCGTCACACAGTACTTTCACTTTTTATCTGGTTCTTGAGGAACCTAATTAAAAAGAACCCACGCCACTGTACGAAGAGAGTAGGGGACGTCGACCCGGATGGTGTGGCCAACCTTTCCTGGGCTGGGTGGGTTATTTGTAAGGAGAGATTTTAATAAAGGGATAACATCATGATCCTCCTTCAGGAGTCGCAATGGCTACCTATAAACAGTGTATGCATGTAACAAAAGAAATGGATATACCACAATTTGCATGTTCTTATACGGCTGCGCCGTTTTTCATTACCGAGTTGCCATTTCTTATTTGTGTGAACGTTGAATTAACTCACTCCCCCGCCCCTACAATTTTCTTTTGCGATACTCCAAGAACACAATATACACGGTTGAACCTCTCCACGATGGCCACCTTGGGGACAGAAGAAAGTGGTCTTTGTAGAGGAGTCCCATTGTAGAGAGATTTAAACAAGAGTAAATATATAAGTGAGGATTATCCTCCAAAAAAGTGGCCGTTGTAGAGAGGTGGTCGTTGTAGGGAAGTGGCCGTTGGTGGAGATTCGACGGTAATGATGTTAAATCATGCCATCCATTACCATCATTAACATTATCATGACCATACCATTATCATTATACGTATTGTAAATCATTTGTGGTGAAGGAAAACACTTGTAAAAAATGATTGAGGTTTAACAAGGAAACTTTTTTCAAAAAGCTATAAAATAATTTGTATTAACGAGAAAGAAAATGCCAATGTTATAGTCACAGTAATTTTTAAGGAGTTATTATAATTCCAAAAATGAAGTAAACATTTTAGGTACAGGATAACCCCTTTTTGGGGTTACTTTTACTCCTAATTTAACACCAAATTTGGGGTCATTTTTACTCCTGAAAAACATTTCTTTTTACCCCTAGTCTGGCGTTAAAATAACTCCGAAAATGGGATTATTTTCACTCCTTACATGGGTTGTTTTTACTCTTTCGGGAGTTACTTTAACTCTGAAATTGGATTGAAAATTTTAGGTACAGGATAACTCCTTTTTGGAGCTTATTTTAACTCCTCAAGATCTGGGGTCATTTTTACTCCTGAAAAAGAGTTCTTTTAACTCCTTTTTGGAGTTGAAATAACTCCCCCAAAAATAACCCCCTGTAAGGAGTTAAATTAACCCCACTAGAGGAGTTATTATAACTCCTTGGAAATTACTGTGCAATGCAATGCGTTTGACGTCAGGAGAAGGCAACCTTAACTTAACACGCGACAAGCCTGCGTATGAACACGCGGCAGGAAGAAACAACGTTTTTTTATCAGTTTGGCACGGTACTTTAGCAAATTTCCTAGAAAAGGCATCAGAGAGAAATCACAGTATATAAATATTGTAACTTAAGATCATACAGAGTAATAGCTTGGATTACCTGCCATTTCTGCGTTGCGCCTGTTAGAGTTGGCAGATTTTATATTCTGTGTTGTTTTCAGTGTGTTCAAATCATTAGGGAAGTGAAAATATATATTAATTGCATTTTCTTATACTCGGAACAGCTATTTTAATTCATCTCTCAATACTATCAAAGGGAAAAACAACCTTTCAGCCTTAGAAGAAAACTTGGCTTTTATACTTCGTTAAATCGTACAAAATTCTCCACTTTTGGACTGACAACAAGGATAGATTCCACTGGAATCCCTCATTTCTACTGATAGAAGACTTAACAAGTGATCAATCACGATGTGTAGCGTGCTTGACTCGAGTCAAGACGTAAAGAATGAGGTATTCCACGACTAGACTCTGGTGGAATCTAGGGTACTGGAAATTCCAGTAGGAAAATCAAATGGTTCTCTTCACTCCGTTTTGGGAAGCTTCAGAAAATATGGGCTGTGTGTGATTCGGCGTGACGCAATTTTTCCTCTCTTTTTTACTCCATCCAGCTGCTGAACTGATTTGAACATACTTTGCCTAAGCGAGCGTTCGTTCTTCCACCACGTCAAATTTTATAGTTTTACGTTAATGCACAAGATTTCTACTTAGGTGATTTATGTTAATGGTACGCACCCTAGTTGTTGACCTAGTGGAGGTCAATGGGCATTTTTTTTATCTTGAAGTGACATTTACCTACAACCTCAATTCCAATGTCAAACATTTGAACGCACTCACAACTGCCTGAGTCTTCATCAATTACTTATGATCAACTTACCGATCAACATTTCGAGCAAAAACTCTAAACAGCCCCAGGAGAATTCCTCCATATGCGTTGTCTCCCGCCTGGTAAAATCGATCGGGGTTGAAGAAGTCCTTTACTTGCAATTCATTAGGTTCATCAAATTGTGACCTGGCAAAGTTGGTACCCAAAAGAACGAAAGTATCGCGGATAAGAGAATGGCCCATTCTAAGAGCAGCTGTAGAGAAGGCGTTGGTACACTGTGCATCAACTGACACATTGTATCCCTTAAAGAATTTCCCTTTAGGCTCCAATAAAATCCCTTCTTGCATTCGCTGAAACAGAATTATAGACCCAAATGATGTCAAAGTTATTCGGTTGTTTTTCCTCAACGGCTGGCTACAAGCAAGGCTGAGGTATAATTATAGCACAAAATTTTGAAATTTCGAAGGTGGGCTCCTATGCTCTTAAAAAACGCATGTACAACGGTGTGATTTTCAATTCAAAATACGTCTTAAGCTTAAGTTATAAAACGTTTCAGACAGTTTTGTACATAAAATTGGTCTTACTATTAGAAAAGAAAAAAAAGGATAAAAAAAGAAAAAAAATCACCTAACTTGTTTAAAGAAAACTACAGCTATAAATAATGCACTGATTCTAAATAGACTTGACATCAGAATTATTGTCTTGCACGCACTTTTTTTTTTATCTCTAAAAACTTTATTTATCTGCATCGGGTTTTTATAAAACTAACGATTTGTAGCAAGTCGTCTTCGCTTGCAATTGGAAAACAAATGGTTTGTCTAGTTTCCTATGTAGGAACTTTTTAAAAAGATTCCCGAAACAAGAAACAGTGTAAAGGACCAATTTGCATTTTCTTCTCAGAAGTAAATCAGAGCGTGAACAGATTACTGGTGATTGGTTATTGGCTATATACAGGTTATTAATTACGTATTCACTAATCTACTCTGAACTTATTCTACTCTGTAACTTGAAAAGAATTTTTTTATTCATCCTGAATCCGGCTCTGCATAATTTAAGAGTTAGCTTGTTACTGCCACGGGAGGTTTTTGTTGTCCCTGTTCCGAAATCTTTTGTCTTTGTTTATCCCGACAAAGTTCTCCTCCTTGGTAGAGGGTATTAAAGTTGACGTTACGTTTTGAACCAATTTCATTATCGTAATTACTAATGTAATGCTATGCAAATTAATGCTTTCACTCGATCTCTTTCATACGCCGCGTGCATGCATCCTAGGTCTTACCAGTTCTTTACTTGGGAAAATAACTGCAAGCCACTCATTGTAGGTGATATGTTGAATCTCCGCGCCAACGATTTTTCGTGCCTCTTGATATAGCCTTTCGTCGCCCCAATGAGGATTTAACAAGTGCAGAAACTTTGCTATACGATTGTGCTCACGTACCCATATGGTATGCATGGCCATCAAAGCTGCCAAAAAAGTGGAAGTGAAAAATTATCTCTTAATTACCTTTTCTACATTCACTACAGTTAAACCATCTCAGTCTGTAAATCTTGGCCTTTGCAAACTTGAAAACGAGTTTATAAAGGGCAATTATATATGTAGAAAAAGAGATAATTGAGAATTACCAAGAACTGAATTAAGTGGATGTTACAACGAGATTTCTTCATTGACCTTTTTTGTAACTGTAGTGCAAGTCGTAATATGCATTGGAAATTATATACAGTTTCTAGCTGTCATAGACAAGTGTTAGTGGATGACTGGCGTTACAAAATACAATAATTAATACAGAATAAACGCTTAATTTACAAATCTATTTTTATAATTTACCAACAGCAAAAAGGGCACACATTACTTTTTAAATAGTTTTGAAACTTAAATTTCAAGAACACTTCTAACTGAAATTCGTCTTATCAGTTTATTAAATTGTTTGCTCTCTTCGTTCCGGGCTCTTCCCTCCATTTACCCGCCGTTGGTATGCAACTGTATACATGTTTTTTTTTGTTTGTGTGTTTTGTTTTGGTGGATTTTTTGCGTTTTTTGGCAATTAATAATGTATATTTGTCGACAATGAGTGGCATGAGTGAATGAATAAATGAATGTGAATGAATGAATGAATGAATCAATCAATCAATCAATCAATCAATCAATCAATCAATCAATCAATTACCGTGATTTTCGTTCACTCGAATATCGCCAGCAAGAAAGCAAGGACTTGCTTCAGTATCTGTTGTTATCTGTTATGGCGTGACTAACATTTCTATGACAGCGCCTTTTTACTCTTGGTCTTCAAAAGCGCAAGTAAGACTTGGCTCATTTTCTCCCCAAATACGATCGCTTAGTCCTATATCAGCTGTAAGATATATATTTTTTGTCCCTATCCTGACTAACTTCAAGGTTTAAGCTTTATGTTTGTGTTTATAAATTTTTCTTGTTATTAATAAGTTTTTGGTCGGCTCTAATGTTCTCTTCATTTGAACTTGAATAATTAAATATAACTAAAAATTAGATAAATAAATAAACTTATCAATTACCGTGATTTTCGTTCACTCGAATATCGCCAGCAAGAAAGCAAGGACTTGCTTCAGTATCTGTTGATCTGCAGAAAGCTTCCTCATCAGCTTCCGGAAGAATCGGTTCGCCATCGGAGTTTATGTAAGGTCTCACATCCAACAATCCCAGCTTTGTTTTTTGGTCTCGAAGCCTCTTTGCCAAAGCTTCATCTGAACCGTACACTTGTGAAGCATCAATGTAGGCTGTTATCTCGTTTATCTAAGATAAAAGGTAGTGATGATTATGATTTAAGGAGGATACGATGATGATGATGATGACGTTGGCTGAGCAGAAATGGAAACATAGCAGTGAGATATTCCTTTAGCGCAGTGGTCCTACTAAAAAAAACGAAAAGTTTTTTTTTTCTTTTTATCTCCAGTATGGCCTTGTAAAAAATATTTTCAAGTAGCCGAAATATTCACCTTTACTTTACAATGGCCCTTATTTTCATGGTTGCAGCCTCGAGGTTAAATAAAATTCGCTTGCTGTTGTGATATTTGTTACAATCTGATAAACACAAGTAGCCTGCGTTGCAGACTTAATTAAACCTCGGTTAGTAACGCCTACGAAGCAGCGTCAATATCCTTGTTCTGGAGCCTTAGTGGAGCGTTCCGAATTTCCTTTCATCTTGATTGGCAAATCGATAAATGGCATTTTATAAACAGGTCAATCATGGCCCATACTCATATCTATTTACAGAGGTGACGGCCCAGAACAAGGATTTCGGCGCTGTTTCGCAGACGGACTAACCAGAGTTTAGTTTCGTCTGCGGCGCAGGCTAATAAACAGTCAGAGTAATAGTTGTATTCGACTCTGTGTCATTAGCCATGCAGGTGTTTGTTCACTCTCTTTTAATTTTTAAGTGGCTGTCTCCCTAAAAGCGGTCCACTCGATTTCGCGACAAAAAATTAGTTTTCCCTTATTTTTTGTTGGTAGGCAGATACTAAAATCGTTATTTTAGTTTATTTTTGTTTTCAAATTCTTTTTCTTAGCTCTGCTACAAACCAAAAACGAATTGAGTGCGTCTCGGTCTCTCAGAGAGTATTTGAAAGATTAAAATTGATGGATTTTGAGAAGCCGTTACGGCGTTGCAAATAAAATGAGTGCCCGGACAAATCAGTTCGATTCAATTATTTAGCAATTAATGAATGACGCTGAGTAGGATAGGAAGAATTAAGGTGGCTCGATACAGTTTTTCAAGGCCAATACCTCCCAAGTTTGAGCATAAACTGCGTCGCCATAAACAAAGTTTTGGAAAAATGGCCACCACAGTTGTATTAGATAAAGATGAAAATTTGTTATGATCAGGGTTGCAACGGCATCGGAGTTGTCATAGCAACGAAATGACGCTATTACCTATTTTACTTGCAGCAGTATATCTCGGCACTGGGAACTGTTCTTCGAAAATGATTCACGCGAGCTTTTTCCTGCAATAGCAGCCTCGATGTTCGTTCCTAGGTCTTCTCGGTTAACGGTGCCTTAACCTGTAGCGGGCTGCATTTCTGACGTCATTTCATCGTTAAACACAATATTCTTCCAAATTTGGTCATCAGCAACTGGTTATGGTGAATTATGCGTGTGCTTTTAGCCAATGAGAATTGGGGAAATATTTTGAATGAATAATAACTTTAGTTAACCTTCGATAGTTCACAGGGTAAATAAAAATATTTTAAAGTTACAGTGGTTCAGTCGTCCTATTTTGCAGGCTTAATCCAAACCCTGAAATGTTGCGACCTAAATCTGGTAAAAAAAAATCATATCACAGTAAAGTTTTAAGCTTTTTTTTTGGGTTTATAAATAGGCTCAGACTTGCGGGTATCTTCTGGGATTGTGACCAACAGTAGCTTGTTATCTGCCATTGTGCGTATTTGCATAAGTTTATTGGCTGCGTCAGATATCACGATTTCACAGGTTCAAAGTTCCATGAAATTGCCTCTTTTGACACTTGCATTGGTCTCCGGCCTCTAAAAGGATTTCAAAGACTTGAGGACAGCGGCAATGAACTCTGTAAGAGGACTAACTGTAAGGATGTATGTACCAAAGCGGCCCCTTGTCAAAACATCAAAACCCCGATCAGGGCTACAAGAATATTTCCTTAAAAATTTTAAAAATTTTCTAGCTCTTGAGCTTGATGGCCCATCAGATCAATGGGCTCCTTCACTGAAATATATTTTTCGATATTTGTCACTTGAACTGGAAGAACAGTTACCTCATATTCGCTTCATCATGTAATATTGGTGCAATCCCCACAAAATCGGGATGATTAGACTGTTTTCTGCGAAACAACACAATCAGAAAAAGTGGATAACTTTCGGTTAACTGCAAGTCGGTCACGAGCCTAATCAGTTCCCTCTTTTGCCAGCCCTGGCAAACTTTAGGTGAGACATCAGTATTTTGATCACTGTGTCAACATACATGTATTTACATTAAAAACTGTACAAAAACTCGTGTCTCAATACCAAACACTTAGAAAAACAAGGTAGTTATATTCATATTACGGCAGTAAAATTCCGTAAAGCTGAATAAAATTGAGCCCCGATCACCTGAAAACACCCGGCCTGGTCTGTCCTTTAGAACGCCCGGCAAAATTACGTAATCGGAATGTCAACGTGCAAGAGTCATTAAAATACTCTACATGCAAACGGACCGATTCTTTGTAGGTGCATTTTTAAAAGACTATTTTATCCGTTCTTTGAAAACATTTATGTCGTACCAACTATTTTGGCCTCAATGGTACATTCTGAGTTGACAGCATAAGGGATTAGAGACCATTAAATAGATACCCACCGACCTAACCCCCTCCCACACCCCACCAGGTTCCTAATCATAACTGTTGCACATGCGATTTCACTTCTATAGGCAACAAACTTGAAAAAAAGAAATAGAATTTCGCTCTAAAAATTACTTTTTTGCCAATTACAATTTTGCGAACTGGCGGGTGGGGGCAAAAGGGTTGGTGGGTCTACCCTCTAATCCCTTATGCCTCATGATTTGAACTTTAAAAATCCACCATTAGATATAAGAGGCCAAAATGCTAATTACGACAAAGCGGTTTGAAAAGAACGGGTAGAAGAGGCTTCAAAAAAATGCACCTAAAGATAGTCTTATACCTCGTTGGCCCACTGGTTGCGTGATTTTTGAAAACGTTATAAAGGAAGGGTTAAAGCTCAGTGGTACTTTAAAAAAAAGAAATAAATACTGTAAAAAATGACTCATTGCCAATACATTTTCCTCGGTGTTATACGCATTTTGTGCAATTTAAGGTGGAAGAACTCATTAAATTAGGGTATTTTTTCAGTTATTTAGTTTATCACAAAGATTTTGGCTAGCCGAGAAAAGTTACGTAGCCACGTGACCATATCATTACGTGACAAATCACGCTATGATTTGATTGTGGAAATGTCACAGAGTTTTGTAGGCGATCACGTTTGGAGCACGTGATCATGTGACATTTTGAACTGAGCAGTTTTTCGATTGGAGAACAGATTTTGATGACAGTGCACCTTTGAGTCAATTGTAATTTTTGTCCAAGACAAAAATACTAGTGGATCGGTTTTGAAGCCCGTTAAGTACTATTGGAATCCCATTGGTTTGGACTAAAATCTATCATAGAAAATCAACGAAAAGGCATAACTTCGGCTGAGAACCACCACATAGCCTGCAAACTGGATTTCTTGCAAAAATGTGTCGGAGTGGACATACTTTCCGAGTGGACCGCTTTTAGGGAGAGAGCCACTTAAAAGAATAAAATTGACCAACACCTTTGAAACACCTGAAGTCATGCATTGATCAGCTACTACTTTAGCTACTGTTCTTACTGAAGTCCATAATTTTACTTACCTGATCACCTTTTCTTCTGAAAGACCTTCTGAGAGGAATACAATTTGCGCTCGCGTTAAATCTCAATCTCTCGAAACTATTAAGTTCATCTAGTGAGATTACAATGCATCCTTCCTGGTTAACACACGGTGTTGTGTTATTTCCGCACTCTACATTTGGTGTCAGCTCTGTCAGGGTGATGTCATGATCTATGAATTGACCCCAGGTCATCGTCATGTGAGTAAAATTTGGTAGGCCAACTTCATTGCCAACGGAACCTTCAAATATCGCCACACTTACTCGCCTTGTATTAGGAAGGGGATGGCCTGTTACTGATTCGTTGCGAGGTTGCTCTCCAGGTGCGTACTCACTAGGAAGAAAACGCCGCAGCGGAGTGAAAGCAGCCCCTTGCTTAATGCGACACAGATTGTTGCATGTTCCATCAATTGTGCGATATTTTTGCTGGAAACATCGCAGCCGGTCCTTGAGGGCGTCGCAGCCATCTGTTAGCTTAAATGCGTCCAACGTTTGTTTAGCGGACATAGCAGAGGACGCTGCTTGGCGCAATTCAAAAGTGGCAATAATCAGAATAATACCCAAAAGAAATCTGAAAACGAAAGAAGGTAGGTTCAGATTTCCTTTTTTTTTTCAGTAGAGGCCTTCTGGTCGTTATGTCCGTTTATCTTTTTTCAATTCATTGAATACAGTATAGGTGTTGAAAGGAACGAATCCAGGCTTTAATGGTATAAACTAACATGGTTCAAACGTTTTCGTTTTTACAATAAAAACGACTAATTTAGGAGACGAGCACAGTGCGAGCCAGCGAAACATATCAGGAATGGGGAAAAAATTACGAAAAAAATCAAAATACAGTAATACAGAAACGCTGTGGATATGTGGCCAGTAATCGGTCAAGGTTTTCAAAACACCAAATGACCCGCAGTCCTGTATTCTCAGTACATTTCACAAATCGAAAAAATCCAGCTAAACCAGACTATCATATGTCGATTAAGAAAAGTCAAGCGATCCTGAAATGCTTTATAGATCTCTGAGCAAAAATAGCGTTTGGTTTACGCTGGTCTCAGAAAGCGAAACCATGTTTTGTGACACTTAAAACTGTTTTTAGCTTGACAGCCGGTCAAGGTGTTGAAAACATTAAATGACCGGCAGTCCCTATATTCTCTCTTTCGTCTTCTGAGCCCATCGTAAGCCAAACGCTATTCTTGAGATCTATGAAACATTTCAGGATCGCTTGACTTTTCTTAATCGACATAGAAGAGTTTAGGTTAGCTGGAATTTTTCGATTTGGGGAAATTTACCGAGAATATAAGACTGCCGGTCATTTAGTCAGGGGCACCCAACGAATGTTTCTTCTAAATACACTGAAAACACCTTTTAGGTTACCCAGAGTACTTTTAGATCTTTAGAAATGCATTCTAACGCGGCGCTATAAAATTTGTATCTGTCCGGTCACCTAGGATAACTTATATTAGAGATTGAGTGAACCAATCAGAATGCTAGAAATGCATTATAATTCGAAATTTTGGTAATCACTCGTATGATTACTGACCGAATTGGACTCCACTCAGTCCTGTTACCATTACTACTCATACGAGTGATTAACCCAATCGGACGACCGCGTAGCGGGAGTCCGATTTGTTTAATCACGAGTATGATTACAGACTGAATTGGACGACACGAAGTTCTGTTACCAATTAATCATAACTTTAACAAAATTTGGGATACCATAGGCTATTTTTTAAACCAAAACACAAGAAATTCGAATTTTTTTTTGGCTAGCAGTGAAAGCGCGCGCGTGATGGCGCGTACTGTCCAATTACTTAGGCATGACGCGCACTGTCCTATTAAACTGTCCAATTAAGGCTGCAATCAGGGCAGTTGAGAGCCAATCAGATTTAACAATTTTGTTATAGTTATGATTATGATGATAATAATATTAAAGTTAAAGAAGAAGAATAGTAATGACAATTATAGTAAAAATAGTAATAATGGCAAAAATGATGCATGAAGTTGAGAAGTTTGATTGACCGCCATTACTGGCTTGAAATGGCACTATTTCAACCAAAGTGACTTTAATAGAGAGAAGTCGTAACGTTATGCATGTTCCCATGGTAGCAAAATTTCTGGATCTCTTAATCGAAAACGTAACATTTATTATGACTTTTCTGTGCATGATTGCATTCAGGGTCAAATTGGTAGACCATACTTTTCGTCTATCCTTTGACAATGCAAATGGCCGGCTCTATCCGAAAAGGCCGTTGAAATGAAAGGATGTTGCCACCATGGTAACCTGACGTCACACTCCTCCTTTCTTTCCCCTCAATGCTTAACAGAAACAAACGCCTCTCAAACGGTTTAATGCTTCGCCATACAATCAAAGTTCAAAACAGTTTTGAAGTGTTTCCACGAACCATCCAAGCTTTGAAGAAAAGATAACAGTCTCATTGGCCGACTTGTTAGTTAAACTTAATTCATGCATGCTCTCGATATTCGTGACACGAAATATAAAAATCACAGGTAGCAAAACTTCAGTCGTGGTTGCCACTTAGTAAAAAGGCTTGTTTGAGTCCGTTCAGGTAAAGAGAAAAAAATCACCTCGTTTTGTCAGCGCTAACCGGCATGGTGCAGCTTTTCTTATTGCGGATTATCTTATTTTCTTGTTTTCACAAGTTATTAGTTTTTTTAATGAAAATTTCTACGTAAATATAATTACCTTGAGGAACACATCCTTTTTTCAAGGCCTGCGCTATCGACCTGCAATAACGGGAATAGTGGTTTGATTATTATTCAATCTAACTTTGTAAGACTGAGATAACAAACTCGTTCGACCCTTTTAAGATAAACTAATTTTGAATTAAAATAAATTTTAAAAAATTCTACTTTTTGGGATGTTCATACAGACATAAATTTTGTAGCCTGCGTCGCACCTAAAACTCCCTTTCCCTTCCCTTTCAAACCCCTGCCACGCAGGCTATAAATTTTGTGATATTCTTGTGAAATAAATAACATCTTAAACATTTTAAACAAAACACGCTCCCTAAATAAGAAAAATGATATATCTGATAATCATTGCATGATGTTCAAAGTTAAAACCTTATTTTTTGTTTGTTTGTTTGTTTTGCAGTTGCAAGTTACCTGTTTCTTGTATCCGAAGACTTGTTGAGTAAAAAAAGTCGCTGAATGATGACAGAAAAAAACTTGCCAAAAACTGTTACTGATATGGATCAGTAACGGAACGACTGCTTTCTATGATTCAGATGGCTACGTTGATGCAGGCTCTTTTTATGCTGCTTTTTGGCTCATTACCTCAAACAAAGTCCGCAATATTAAATGTTTAATAATGAAAGCCGATACAACGACTGATAAAGACACTCTTCATCACACATTGTTCTCAGTAATGGAACCTCAAAGGGGCCTCACGCGAGGGGCAATATGTTAGTTCAATATTTATTTATTTATTTATTTTTAACCAAAAACGTAATACTGACGCCGGCCCTGAATAAACGACGGAATTTAAAGAGATAATATAAGATAACCCTCCTAGCCGGGCCAACTTATCCCCATGGAAACATACATAAGTCGCCCTGCTGCCGGATCAACTAGGTCGAAGCGAAACAACTGAAAGCATGCTTGAGCGCTGTTTTACAATCAGCGGCATGCGCGCGCGCTGTCGGGTCAGGCAAAAGTGTGAACGTTTTTTTTATACAAACGCTCACTAAAGATGACTCGGCCTAAATCAGGGTCACCTTAACTTTTTGTACCGGAGGTTAAATTGTTAAGCTCCTCATCAATTAAAATTCAAAACAACAACTTCATTTTCATCGATAATGGACGATCTAAATTGTGACAGCACGTTTGTTTGTTTGTTTGTTTGCTTTGTGTTGTTCTGTCTCTTTTTTTAATTTGTAAGCCACCGGATTATCGTCATCCGTGATTCAATTCAGCAATGATAATAATTACCAGGCGATTTCGCAATTATCAAGTAGATGAAATTTAACCTTTAAAACGTTTCTCGTAGATAGTTAATAACAAATAAACTCATCTAAGACAATTCACAGTTGTACTTATAACTGCCTAAAAAGTGATAAATAACAGGGAAACACAGTGAATGAGCGAATGAGCCGTATATCTTCTGCCGTGATACCGGCCCTAGGAAGAGCTGATATCTGATTCCAATATTTGATGTGATCCCTTTGATAAAAAAAAAAAAAAAGTGTATTTGAATGCCCTGCAAAACTTTTTCTGATCATTGATGACGTTATTACATTAAGATATCGGCTTACAGCTATTTTTTGCTGGTTCCAATTTACTGCCTGATATTTTTAACCCTGGGACGTACACGCAAATTTATACCCCCATCGTGGTACAAGGGGGGTTGATGGAAACCCTTCCTAGAGTTTTTGGTATGTTGTAGTATGTAAACGATTTCGCCTTTAGTGGAAAGCCTTTCACCTTCTCAACAAGATGAGGTATATTTTATGGGTGGTGCTGCTACTGGAGGCCAGTGACGTCACCAGCAATAGTCGCCATCTTGGATTTTACCAAGAATTAGAAATCATGTGAAGATCGTAAGAAATGGTAATTTTTTTGTGCTTGACATATAAAATAACGCATAAATAAGCACTTTGCATCATTTCATCCACAATCTTTACTTTTGTTGTCGAAAGAAGTTCAGAAAACATGCATTTTCACTCAAAAATGACTTGATCATCTGCTATTTATGATGTCATATCTCGTAGGCATAGTAACTGGACATTACTAAACTTGTCCCAAAAAGTGTGAGAGGGACAAACGAACAGCCATTGAAAACTTCAGGTGCTGCTGTTTTATCGTTTGGGAAAAAACTCAGAAAAGCCAACCCCTCCCACCACGCCTTCGGCCTTCGCCACCCTAGATCTGTGCTCTACCAGTCACATATAAAATTCTCCGGCGAGATCCTAACATTCCCCTTTAAGGCTAAGTTCCGGTAAGCGAAGATTGTATTGACCAAAAAAAATGAATAAATAGATCAACAAAGAAAGAAAAAAAGAAAAACAAAAAGAAAAAGAAAAAAAATAATACAAGAAAACTGTTCAGTAGTAAAAGGTGAAAAAGAAGAATTTAATGTTTCTTTAATTTTGACCAGAATTGAATTTGAACAAATAAATTGAAAAAATTCCATTTTCTATCTCTCCGAGCGAACAAAAAAAATAGTAAGGAAGAAAAAATCCACAAAATCCAGCAAGAATTTAGTCAGCATGAATCATGTTTACTCAGCAAGCAGGATTTTTTTTTTTTGGAGGGGAGGGGGTGGGTGCATTGCGTGAATCGAGCCTAAGCGGCTGCGAAAGTCAGATTACATGAGTGGTTGTCGTTTTCTGTTTTTTGTTTGTTTTGTTTAGTTTTTTTTTTTTGAAAAGGTTCAAATTCAAATTTTCTCTAATTTTTGAATCAGTTGTAAATATTCAGATAATTTAGTTGTGATTATTTCTTTAATATGCCAACAGGTAACTTATCGTTTAGCTGACACACTGTAAAGCGGTAAGTGATGTCATTATTACTTTTTTCCGGTCATGGCCAATACAGGCGAATATTTTCGCCGTTTTTTACCCGGTTTATAATCCGGATAACGTTTTCACGCACCATTGACAATTGTCAGCGGCATAATTATTGTGACGTTAGAGATTTGTAAAAATTCCGTTTATGTACAAAAAGATAATACTGAACTGTATTATTGTACTGTATATATCATATTTATACATAAGTGTAAAGGCGTAAAAAATAATGTGGCCTAGCATATGGTCATCAGCTTGTGATCTACGAAACACACGAATTTTTGCACGTCATCCTTTCAGGCGCAAGAAATTGGAATCAATACAGGAGGTAAAATACGTTAGGCGATCGGAAATAGTGATTATGTACTGACGTGCGAACAACGACCTTCAATATTTTTTTTACTTCTTACAGGTCACACTCCACAGGTCCGAATACAGGTCACCGTGTATGGCGCGCCGTTTGTTTCAAAATTACTTTTGTCAGTTGTACCATTTCACTGTCTTTTTCGTTAAATTTTTGATTTTCGGCATTCATAGAGATACTGTGGTACAAACATATTCTCTGTCAGTTGTACGCATCACTCTATCGGTTGTAGCTGTACGGGCTACAAATTGTCGGTTATAAACCTTCATTCTGTCGGTTGTACGCATTCCTCTGTTGCTGTTAGTTGTAAATATTTACAGTAAATATTTCAACCGACGCAATGAAGGTCTATAACCGACAATTTGTAGTCCGTGTAGGTACAACCGACAGAGTGATGCATACAACTGACAGAGAATATGTTTATACCACAGTATCTCTATGAATGCCGAAAGTCAAGAGGAGACTCATAAAAAAGAAACAGCAAATGATACCAAATAAAAGAACGAAAATTTAACGAAAAAGACGATGTAATGGTACAACTGACAAAAATAATTTTGAAACAAACGGCGCGCCATAACCGTGCTATAGACTAACCCCAAGTGTCTCCTAGCTTTAATCCCTGTCCAGCTTGTTAACCGTCAAAAATCAGTGAGCTGTTATCGTGATCTGTGGAATGTGATCTGTTAAAGAATTAAACCTTTCAATTAGGAATGCATCTGCCAAATCAAGAATCCTTTGGTCTACGTCAGCATGAAACCAATCCAACGGAATAGTTAAGTCAGCTATAGCGCCTTTCTTGTTCGTAAAATAAATCCATCTGTCTGATCAGTTTGGTTTGATTTGAATCAAGAATGGCTTTTTATATAGCGACTTCGTAATAATGCACCGTTGTTATTAAGTATCGCTCCGCGTAAGAACGATAGTAGCCTGCAGTGCAAGCGTATTTTGGGTGGGCAAAAGTTTGTTCATATTCGTATTGTTGTAGCCGCCATCTTTGATTTTATGACAGAGGAAGATTGGCGAGAGTAGAAATAGTAACCCTTAGGGTAGGTGCGAGGGCGAAAGAAGGAAAGGGGAAGGGGGAGGGGAGAAAAAAATACGCCTGCCCAATATCATTGTTCTTTTAGGAAACGTTGGTTGTCTGTTTCCAATTAATTAATTAAAATCCGACTCTGTGATTGGGTAGAAATCGAAAAAAGTTAGTAAATCAAAAATATTAAAACATTGTCTTTTACTTCATCTATATAAAATTTAACTATTGTTCTACATGCGACGCAAAATCCACGAGAATCGTATGCAGGGAACGTAGCTCTACAGCTTTTCAATGATCGTCCGCCATCTTAGATTCTTCTGTCGATCCGAAAACAGTGGTTGTTGTTAGACCTTCTCAGTCTTTTACTTCTTGTAATTATGCGTCTTTTTGCTAAAACTAGGATTGTAAGTTAGTATTTAACACCTTTTGCGGCTGTATGCCGCTGTCATTTTTAATGTGAGTGAGGTTTTAGTGACCCACGTGCGCTGGTGAAGTGTAATCCACAACAGCTACTGCCGCTGCTGTAACAGTAAAAGGCAGCCGAAAAAAGAAAATTCGCTGCGTAGAGGGAATTGAAGGGACAAATCCGCAGAGACGTAATGACATGTTTCACTCCCCGGCGTTCACTTCATTCCGCTAATTTCGCGGCAAATTTGTCACGCCAACACAAGCTAGCACGGTCAGTGATTTGGAATATTTAGACATCTCCATTAGCATTTTTCTTGATCACCGTTCCATCTTCAAGGAGAAACGTAGTCTGTCGACTGGAATAGTGGAAATGTTCTGTAATACGATTTTGGCTTTACAGAGGAATATCCCGGCAAAATGGATTTTTAGCGCAGCACGGCGTCGTAACACTGGTACAGGAATTTTTGAATTAAGGCAGCTTCGAATGACTCATTAAAGTTTGCTTTTATGATGAGGCTGGAATTATTTTTTGTTATTATTTTTTCAATTTTTTGGTCAACTGTTCAGAGTCCTCGAGCGATTGATGCTTTAAATTGCTTCGGCCTGCACGCGTGTACTGTTCTCCCTCACAGACTCTTCTAGTTCAAAGACGGCAGGAGCCTTGAATTTCTCTTCTTCTCCTCCTCGTTTTTCTTCTATCTCAAATTATTTATATTCAAGGAAAAGAAAAAAAAACCTTTAGAGTAAAATCATAGAAGAAATAATTAAAAAATGTTACGGATTTGATGACGTGCTCACACGCGTGTGGAGCAAAAAAAGACACAGGGTTACATAACTTGTCCGGATATTACTTTTAAACCTGTCAAAATTATGACAAAAGGAAGGTATAATATTGTTCTTCAGACACTTATCAGTAGAGTACGAGCAGCCTCTCTTTTTTCTTGGTCCGTCGAGGAAAACGCCTGAGACACGTAAATGACCACGCGCGTGACTGAAGGCGTGAGACGGGAGAGGTACGACAAAAGAAACTCTTTTTTCTTCTCGGGCTGCCGCCCTCGCTTCTCGCGTCTCGCGGCTTCGCCGTCCAACGCTCGCGCGCGCGTGCACTCCCCTTACTAAATCTGAAGGAAAAGAGAGGCTGCTCGCAGTCTAACTTATCAGGGAAAACGCACACTTCCCCAAATACGATTTTTTCCTTTTTGTATATACAAAGATCATTAGGAAACATTACAATGTGCAAAATTTCAGCGATGCAATTGGGTTTTAAGCAAAGGAAATTTTCTTCAAACCATTTGAATTCCGCGCTAAATATATAGCGTTTAACTCAGAAAAAATTTAAATAGGTAAAAGTTTGTCATCGAGTGTTCAGGCCCTTTTAGTAAAAGTTACGTCTTGGTCGTTTTAGTGACGACAAAGAGGTGTACAAAAAGGGTTGATGCAGGTGCGGAGGTGTGTCTTTTTGGTTAATGCACCTGTTGCTATTTTAACTTCCCCCACCGTCGCTGTTATCTCGCCCAAAGTAAGGGACTCCGGGATCCAGAAATCCGGTCTTTGGAATCCGAAATACAGCAAAAAAAAACACACACACAAAAAAAATAAACAAAAAAAAATTCCGGAATCCCACTAAAGATTGGAATCCAGAATCCAAGTTCCACTGAAAAGGACTGGAATCCAGTACCTGAAATCCGCAATCCATGGGGCGAAATCCAGACTTCAAGACTGTCTTGGTTTCCCTTGCATGGGACCAGGCATTGTTGCTCAAGTTCCTTATAATAACTAAGTAACAGACACACTATAGTTACACGCAAAGGTTTTGTTTTTAGATTATTTCTTTTGTGACCTGCCTATGGTGTTGTCGAGACAGTACATTTTTTTAATTTTTACCTTCCAATAACTCTAAATAATAACAAAAAAATTTAAGACGGAATCCATCAGGAAATTGAGTAATTTTAATTAATTAAATGGACAAAAACCTTGTACCAGAATAATTTAAACAATATCGCATTCTTTTTTACATTTTTCAAGGGCTATTGCTGGAGCTCATCTGGATGAGCACCAACAATGGCGGACGGAAACCAACATAAACATCTGTTATCGAGTTTTGCTACAAAAGCCTGAATTTACTCCTCGAGGAACTCATAAACATTAAAGTAATACTTGTTATAACACTTGAACTGTTTAGATAGCAAAATTCCGCGAAAAAAGTCACTTTTTTAACCTAAATGACAGCTCTCTCGGCCTTCATGTAAATGCTGCGTCACGCAAAAGCTTAGAAATTCAAGAGTGCTCTATTAAAAAACGAAGAACCCTTTTGAGGCGAAAATTTGTTTGAAAATTAGTTTTCAGCTGCTCTAATCACCATGAAAGTAAAATCTCAGTAGGATCGATAGTTTTGTAGTTTGAATTTTAGTAACGTCATGTGAAAACCAACAATAGATGCAACTAGTTATCTGTAATAACACCAAAGAAAATTTCTCATGGGAGCCCGAGAAGACGGATGTCAAATTTCACAAAATGACATCTTACACATGAAATTTACCTGTGTTTTCACAGTTCTTGTGAAATTTGACATTTATTTTCTCGAGCTCCCATTAGAAATAGTCTTTGGTGTTATTACAGATAACTACTTGTATCTATAGCCCTTAAAAAAGAATGCGATATTGTTTAAATTATTCTGGTACATTAGGTTTTTGTCCACTGAAAATTAAAATTACTCAATTTCCTGATGGATTCCGTCTTAAGTCATATTGTAAATGACATTTTGTACCTTTGTCAGACAGGAATTAAGTAAGAATCACTGATCAAGACTAGTATGCAATGGTACTGAATAGTGGGCCATTTTTGAACAACCCTGTGCTTAATATCCTATATTATACTTTTAGTGCAAATGTGAGACTGATAAACACCTGAAGGAGCTTTGATTATTTTTTCCTTTCTTTTCTTATACTTAGCTGAGGTAGAAGAATTATTTAAAACTTTCAAAACTGTGTTTAACACGAGCTTAAATTGACCAGAGATATTGGATCTTCAACTCATGATTACCTCGAATAGTGAATACGAACATTTCCACTCGCAAAATTTTAGCCTCACATGCTAGTTTTTCATTGAGTGGCCAAATCGTGAAAAATATTAAGTAAGCTTTATTTAGGCACAGTGCTCTATCGTATACCCGGTAGTACTGACATCTTTTAGATGGCGATTATGCCATTTTTAAACGACAAAAAAGCGTAAATAAAAGGAATAAAGAATTGATTTAAGCTCCGATGGACGCACTAGCTTCACTTCCCGCACTATCGTTAGACTCGGCGGACTCCACGCCAGATTCTGCAAAAAAGCCACAGTATATTAATAAGTTCACTCTTCCAAAAATAGGTTAGGTTTTTTAACTTATAGTGATTATTTTTTAGATAAGGGCTAGTTAAGTTTTCAATGTAACCATACAGAGAACGACCCTATATATGCTTTCGCAGTGATGTTAATACCGTCGTGGTTCGCCCATAAGACCACCACTGTGAAAAAATACCATAATACTCTTTGAAGAGCCGTTTTGGGTAATGCATGGTACACGTAAACCTGTCTTTATCGTTAGGAAAGGTTTGTCCGATGTATAGATAGACATGGATTGAAAATTGAAAAGGTTGGGTCAATTTTTTTACGTTTTAATGCTCTGCCTGCAAAAAAATCACCCCAAATTATTAGCATATGTAATAGGAATACATGCTGTCCAATTTGGAAATAATTGTATGAAAAAAATTCCGAGGACAGCCAAATTGGACGAGGCCTACCGCCTCATCCAACAGGCCTCGTCCAATTTGGCTGCCAGAGGAATTTTTTGAATTCAATTATTTCCAAATTGGACAAGCATGTAGTCCTCTTAGGGACGGACAATTAGAAAACTTATTGGGGGGGCGGACGAAGTACAAAAAAAATATTCGCGCAAGGGAAAATTAAAAGAAAAAAAATTCATGCACGCCAATTAACCCTAAAAAATATTCATGCAACGGCCTGAAAAAAATTCATACAAGGAATTTGATAACGAAAAAAAATTCCTGCGGACCGAAAATTCCCCCCCCATAACATTTCTAATGGTCCGTCCCTTACTTATTAATTATATAGCTGGTTAGTTAATCCAGATTTTTTAGCGTGTCACAGACGCAAAATATTGTACATTCGAACCGATTGTAGTTGAAACAAAAACACACTGCAAGATCTAAAAAAAAATTGTTTTTATGGGTCACTCAGTGATTCTTTACAGATAAACAAACGTAGAACTATTATAATTGCTCTTTCATACTTTGGCATTTTGTTACCAATTAAAACTTTGAAAGCTCCATCTTCAATGATCTGAATGCTGATACAGTGCTACAGGTGAAACAGCAATTTCGGTTACAAAGAAAACAAAGCAACAACGCAAATGCTTAATTTAAATACAATGAATGAAAAATAAACATTTCATTCATTACCTCAAACGATTTCCGCAGACCGTGTCCGTTTGTTTTTGCATGTAATGCCAACATCTAAACACAGGTATAAGTGTTTTCTTATTCTTGTCCAAAGTTTCAGTGCTTGTACATTTTCAAGAATCTGTGCGTTAATTGTTTCCGATACAAACTTTTATCAGTTTGGTCATACATTTTCCTTTTAAATGGCCCAGACAAGAAGCCAAGACAAAACGTCATTCACAGCAACAAGAAGCCAAGAGTGTTCACCGACGAACCGCCGTCAGCCAAAGAAACTTTTTTTTGTCGCGTTAGTCACAGGGACTTTGCGCTGATTGGCTAATTTGCATTGCCTATTGTATTTTCTGGCATTTGATTGGCTCAGACTAGCTGTCTTATTTTTCTCAAATTGGACAGTTTGCCTGTTTGTAAAGGAAAGCCCTATCTGAAACTATCCAAATTAATCATTAATTGAACAGTTCGTACAAATTAAAGGATAATAGCTTTGCTCAGTGACAATATTGGATTTTAACTAACAGCTATATAATTGTTTTTAAAAAATTGTATGTTTCAATTTGAAAAAATTGTAAATAAATTTCAAATCTTATATTTTTGGTAACGGTAATAAACGAGGTAATAAACAATGTCCAAATAACTTAAAATACTTTAAAGTTGCGTCACAATGCTACTTACCCATGTCATTGTGATACTAGAAACAAATTTGACTGTTTAACTAACTGGCTGTTTTCTCACTACCTGTCTAAGTGTAACCTAATTCTAAATTTTGACCTTTAACGCTTTTCCGTATATGTCTGGAACAGCTTGATAGAATTCATGATAATAAACCTCATCACATAATCTTCACTATGTGTACAACAATGTCTTTAAAGACTCTCACTGACAGTTGATGAATAGTATACTCACCATCTTTAAAAACAGTCAAGTCGGCAAACGGCAGATCATCACAGAATACTGCATTATTATTGATTCCTTGGGCTTGTGCTGCGTCTCTGTGTAAGAAGACCCACGGATGTATTCGACGAACATCATCGGTATTATCACAGATAACTTTGGCAAGAGAAGTGTGTCGTATTTGGTCAAGTTGTTCGATGGTAAAACCCGTCTGATGATCATCTCTCTCGTACCAAAAGCGGTCGCCAACACGTGAATTTCTGAATTGCTCGGTCATAATACAGGTGAAGGTAAAACCAAGTACACTACCAGGTTGGGGTCGCTCACTTATACCACCCGCAAACAAATCGATGTCGTGCACCCCGTTAGTGCCATAAACGTTCGTCAGTCTTGCTATTTGAGTGTCAGTAACAGTATCAGCAATATCAGCAAAGCTATATGCTGGGTTCCCTCCGCACGCTTCTCGGAATTTGACGTAAGCTGGTAAGCCATGATCTCTTCCGCGCTGAATATTTACTGCTGCTAGATCACCAACGATGCCATCAAAATTTGGTCCTTCAATGATGAGCCGTTCTCGTACAGCTGGAACAAAGTTTCTGAAAAAAAATTATACCACATCAAAAAATATACATATATATATTTATTGTAATAACGGTTTTTAAAAATAATAAATGGAAAAAACTTTATTGATAACAAAGCTAACTATAAAATCCGATTTACAGTTTATTTCGCTTACTAATAAACAACTTTTCAGTCAAAGCACTATTTACAATTCCTTTCGATTAAAAAAGGAAACTTAATTTCGATTTTTATAGTGGTTATTTTTTTTGGCTTGACATATATATTATACTACTGCATGAGAAGTTTCTGCAATTTGATTGGCTTGGTGCAGTAGTACATATTTCAGCTTAATTTGAATTATACCTACATGTGAAAATTACAAAACCTTTGCGGGTAGTACTATAAACAAATGATAGGCATGATTTGTACGTGATAATTGACATAAATACCACTCATGATATTTCAAAATTGTCTCAAATCACGTTAAACAATTTCGAAATATCACTCGTGGAATTTATGCCAAATATCACAACAAATCATGCTATTACCTTTAATAATACGGTGTAGTCTGTTTTGCTCAAAAGCAGTCCAGTTTCAAACGTATTTCTACTGCCGGCATGCCGTGCTAAGCTAGCTCGACTGTTAGTACGACTGTAGTATGACATGGTTTCAATAAAATAGCTGTTTTCAAAAACGAAGCATAGAAATAATAACAATAATCATAAAATAACTCGTGCAGGCGGTCCAGAGTTTTAAATCGAGTCATTACAAAAGAAGAATCATCCGTCTCTGATACTAAAAAGAAACAAGTTAAAAAGAATAAAATCTCGTATTCCTAAATTCCTAATCCTCAGTCTTTAAAAAGTTCTTAAAAATAATAATAATAATAATAATAATAATAATAAAAGGTTTAATCAACTTTTAAAATGTTTTCTACTTGTTTTAACCTAGTCAAAATACATCAGTGAATTGAGTTCGGCACGGCAATAGCACAACGGCATTCGTGAAAGGGCCTGTTTACACGGAGGTGGGGGACCCCAGGTAGGAGAGGTAACCACCTTAATTACGTGGGGTAACTCGCCTTTATTCTCTCATTTTCATTTGATAAGGTTTACGTGATAGGTGAAGCGACCATATGAAAAATTATATGGACAGGCGGGTTACCCCTCCTAAGCTGGTTATTTACCACACCTACCTGGAGTTCCATACTGCCATGTAACCCGCAGAGTTCCACCATAAGAAAAGCCTGATCCGGAATTTGTACAATGACAGAGAGCGCTAGGCTATTATTCCCAGAGCGTCAGTCCTACCGAACTCTCGCAACCTGACAGCGTGTCAGAACTATCTAATCTGAATCTCGAATTTTAGTGCCGTAAGCCAATTATGCTAATATATGACTTGTGTAAAGTACCAGAGCCATTATCACTATCCACAGGATTACCAGGGTAACTGGTTTAACTGGTCTAAAACAACTGGTTAAACTGGTCAACTGGTTAAAGATTTCAGTGATCAAGAAGGAGACTCTGCCTAGATAAAACTGGCCCTTGAGAGGTCGTTCGAGAGCATATAATTTCATGACGGATTTTTAACTTACGCATCAAAATTTCGAGCAAAATTCCTTAACAGCCCCAGCAAAATTCCTCCATATGCGTTGTCTCCTGGCTGATAGAATCGATCTGGGTTGAAGAAGTCTCTCGTGTCTAATTCATTCGGTGAGTCAAATGCTGTACGGTTGAAATTGGGGCTCAAAAGAGCGAAAGTGTCGCGAATCAGAGTATGGCCCATTCTGAAAGCGGCTGTAGAGAAGCTGTTGAACATTTCCGCATCAATTGTAGGATCATATTGGGTGAAGAAACTACCTTTACGCTCCAACAAAAGACCATTTTGTCTTCTCTGCAACAGAAGTATAAATAAAACGTAATTAGCTATTATTGAATGCTGGACTCGGACGAATTATGCAGATCGAGGAGAGTGATAACGGCCTGCGAGATTTGCATAACTCTTCATACGAAAGTCGAATTCAATAATTGTATTTATTAATATTAGTCATTCAAAACTATATTCTACCTTCTTAAGAACCCTTCTTTTTTCGTAGAAGTTATTTCTTTTTCTTATTTTGCAGTTATTGTTTAATTTGTTATATTTTTTTTCGCTCTTTACCGTTCTTCGCTTGTATTTTAAACGAAAACTACAGCTGAAACTAATTGGTACAATGGTGGTCAGCTATACTGAAAACCTAATGGTTTACCTGGCCACAACTACCTGAAAACGAGGTTGTGATGGTATATTAAAGTATCTGCCATATATGGTCAGCGCTGAATAAAGAATTAGCGAGAGGATTAAAGCCAATTAGAAACGGCGAAATATTTTGAATGGATCATAATCACTTATAATTATAGCATGCGCAATGAGCAAATACTTGGAAAAAGCTCTTTGGGAGAAACGATTATCCTACTGTGTGCCGAGTTCATTAAAATTATGCTTGCAGGTGGTATGAATTACAGCCGTAGGTACACTTGTAAACATTCTAGGAAAGTAAACATTTGACTTGAAAAAATAAAACATCTATAATTGTAAGGAAATGAAAAGATCCACAAATTGTCTAATTCCGACTGTTGCTTTGTCAACAACAAAAAGTGGATTGGTCAGCTACCATCAGCCATAACGTTTAGCTACGAATCCCTTAAGGCTGCGTACAGAGCGAGTCCGTGTGTGCGTGTTAATTAACGTTTTTGTGTGTACCAAGCCGCAATTATTACTTATCTATTTTTCTCCTGAAAAGGATTTTGTCTTGAAAAGAAAACTGGCGTAAACATATTTTTACCAATTTCTTACCAACTCTCTACTTGGGAAAAGAACTACAAGCCACTCATTGTAAGTTATGTGTTGAATCTCAGCCCCAACAATCTTACGTGCTTCTTGATATAGCCTCTCGTCATCCCAGTGAGGATTGAGCACGTGCAATACTTTTGCTATACGATTGTGCTCACGTACCCATAGCAAGTGCATCGCCATCAAAGCTGTTAAATAAAAAGAGGGGAACAGCGAAAAGGTCAGTTACACAAGCTTTATATTAATGCTCATTAACAGCTCTGAGGGCTACAAGTCCGGCCGAATCAGCGCGGGTCCAGCTTGATCACCGAAAAGTGTGAGATACACAAAATTAATGTTGCTTTTGAGCTTCTTTTCCACTTTTGATGCACAGTAAACACAAACCGGGAAATTCAGAACACTTCAGTTGAACTCTGATTGAATACATATACTGTTCTTATTTAGTTTTGTTGTTCATATTTGTTCCCTTCAGTTAAATATAAGTGATTGCCAGCAATAAGTACTAGTCTCTGAAACTTAGAAACATTTAAGCGTTTACCGTGATTCTCGTTCACTCTTATGTCACCAGCAAGAAAGCACGGTCTGCTACTGCGATCTGTTGATCTGCAGAAAGCTTCTGCTTCGGCATCTGGTAGCCTGGGTCTATCATTAGTGTTGATGTAAGGACTCACATCCAAGAACCCTAGGTTTGCTTTTGTGTCTCGAAGCCTCAATGCCAAAGCTTCGTCCGATCCGTACACTTGTGAGGCATCGATGTAAGACGTGATCTCATTTACCTAATAGAAAGATGAACCCATGATGATCGATGTTGTTGATGATGATGGTCGTTCATAAAATGGATACACAATGTAATTGTCTTTTGCACTTAAGCTGAAATTGCAAGAGACTCAACAGTTTGTCACATTAGGCTTTGAAGCTTATAGTTCAGGAAAATAAAAGCTAAAAGAATCATGACCTTGAATTACGCTTGCTCGAATTAAGGCGCCTCAGAGGCCACATAACAACTTGATAATTGATTCTACACAGCAAAGATGCCATGATGATGATCATCATCATCGTCATCATCGTCGTCGTCGTCGTCGTCGTTCTCGTTCTCGTCATCATCATCTTCATAATCGTTATCTTAATCCCCCTACATTACAGTAACGGTCCACAGTCTAGAATAATTTACGATGGCCTTCAAGCGGACTGTACCACAGATTTCCTTGGAGACACCTCCCCCCCCCCCTCCCCCTGGTGTAATTACAATTTACTTTTACCGGTATCACTTGTAACAACAACAATAATAATAATAATAATAATAATAATAATAATAACAATAATAATAATAAGAGCCACCTTTATTGGGTTTGCAGTCTAACGCTGCAAAAGCAACAGTATGCCGACTGTGAGATTAATCACTACCAGCGATTCTTCAGAGCAGTGCTTTTCTGTGAAGCTATAAATACAGGCATGCATTTATAATTAATGGTGCAAGATTGTTCTTATTCTCTATGACCTACCTGTTGCGAGTCTACTCTTAGGGACCTTCTCAGGGGTATACACTGTGCTGTTAAATTAAATTCCAATCTATCGTTACCGTTATTGCCATTCAAAGGAATTCCAATGCAATCATCGTTGTTGGTTACACACGGTTCATCGTTGCCCCCGCACTCCACATTTGGTGTCAGCTCTGTCAGAGTGACGTCATGATCTAAGAATTGTCCCCAGGTCATGGTTATGTGAGTGAAATCCGGTCTGATGCCGTTTACATCTCCATTATTGCTACGAAAGACAACTCGGCTTATTCGCCTTGGATTTGGCAAGGGCTGGTTATTCACTGTTTTACTTCGAGGTTGATCGTTTGGTTGTTGATATTCCGCACCGAGATTACGGAAACGTCGTAGTGGCCTTCCAGTTGCTCCCTGAGTTATGTTACACAAATTGTTGCATGAGCCGTTAATAGTGCGATAATTGTACCGGAGACATGCTAATCGGTCTTTGAGCTCGTCGCGGCAGTTTGTCAGCTCAAGTGTGTCCAAGGTTTGCTGAGCCGCCTCATTTGAAGACGATACTTGACGAACATCATATGCAAAACCAGTCAGAAAGAAACCCAAAAGAAGCCTGAAAGCGACAATAAATAAATTAGCCTAACTCGTGGCTTCCATTTTAACTTGGAGGCTGACCGTGAGAAAAGTTATGGCCGCACGATTTTCCTGTCGATTCAAGCAAACAGGAGTGTATTATCAGGCGTAGGGAACCCACGCTCTTACTTGCAACTGCAAAAGGAAATTAAATAAGAGATAAAATTTTACCTTTTTTTGTTTTATTCTTGAATCTGTTGTGGTGCGAAGTGAAATGAAAGTTGTTTTACGATGCGAAAACTACGTCCAAGTCGACGCACAATGTTTGAATTAACAGAAATAAGTACTTTACTCTTACTTTCTCTCGAATTGTTAATAAATTAATAACCAACAATGAAACGCGAGACGACCGGCGCGTGACACCAAAAGTAAAATAAGAGCCAAACCACACAAAACAATGTGAAATCAGCAACGGTTAAAGCGTCGACTTGAACATAGTTTTCGCATCGTAAAACAACTTCCATTTCACTTCGCACCACAGCAGATTCAAGAATAGAACAAAACAGGTAAGATTTTCTTTCTTATTTAATTTCCATTTGCAGTACAAATGAGAGCATGAGTTCCCTATGTATCAGGTTTAAAAACTCTCGGCTTCGCCTCGAGTTTTTACTGTTTTACACCTGATAATACACGACTGCTAGTGTTTTGAACGGCTTCAAAATCTCTGAAATTCATCAACTCATTCTTGCACTAGTAATTCTTAGATTTGGGGTTATTTTGGTCTAATAAAGTGTACGTAAACTTTAGCGGTGTCTCTATCAGATATAAAGACACTCGTTAAACATTAATTCCTTTTGTTTTTTATGAATTTTTAATGAGTTTTTGAATTTGTGTTTAAGGGGCTAATTCACGGAGATATATTGCTGTTTTAAGTCAATTCTGAGCTAAAATCATTACTTAGTGCTTACACCCACACACAAAATGCTCGACCTGTAGAATTATGAAGAAGATATTAAACAAATTTCATCAGGGTGATTACCATCCAGATTATAGTTTAACGGCGAGTTTTGCATGTAAAAAAGTTGGTCCATTTTTAACGTCATATTGCTTTCCTTAATTCTACACGCATTAACTACGCTACTAAAAACATCAGTTTGCACTGGGAGTTGCAATCCTTCATCATTTTGCGATTCTAACACTGAATAGATTTTGAAGATATTATTCTAGTATTTTTTTTTTCAACATATGAGTTTATTGAGAAAAAATAAATTTGTTCATAAAAAAAATGCCCCGAGCAAAGTGGATTGGTGGTTAAGACCCTAAAAACTATAATTCATAAACGGTGATTTGGCTTTTCGATATTCAGTTCATTATTACTCCAGGGTGGCAGATTTTGTGTTTTAGTTGTATGTTGTAAATATAGCAAACGATGGTACATGGGAACATGGTATAGTTAAATGAAATATTATAATTATATAAAAAGCGTCTCTTTGGCCGGGATATAGAGTGCCTCGTATATGAAAGACCTACATAGCGGAAACAGCAAAAAAAAAAAAAAAAAAACGAATATCAGGCAACTGCCTCCTCTTACATCTTCCAGATGTTAAAGTAAATTAACTACTTTCCAAACAACTCATTATTTCTCGCCAATTTGACAATCTCCGGTCTCTCCCTCAACCAAGTCAAATACTAAAGCACTCCCGCGGAGTCAACGAATGCTTTTCATTCAGTCAATTTGTCTTAACTACTGATTGTTTTTGATATAAGCATGTTTCCAACAATTTATTAAATCACGCACTGCAATCCCTAACGCGCTCAAAACATCCCATTCAGATTTATTGAATCCTTCGACGGTCTATTGACTTATATAATATATATATATACAACCTAGTTGATAAAACCAAATAATTTCGCTATATAGCAGCCGTAGCGTTTTGTAAGTAGTCTAAATACAAGTCAATAGGCCTCAGCGAAACATATGATACAATCAAAATTTGGCGCGTTTTAAAGTTATAGTTTAATTTGTTATTGTTATAGTTTTGATATTGTGATGTTGTTTTAAAAACTACACAGTGTTTGTAACCACTTTTATTGTTACGTAATACATACCTTGAGAACCACATGTTATCTTCCAGGTCCTAAAGTTGCAAATACATTAAGAATATAAGTTTAATTACTGTGAAACTTGTTGTATTAAATTGCCTAGATTGGACTAACCTGCATAGCAGGCATTCGAAAGGTAAGGGGAAGGGAATTTTTTGGCCCTAGACCGCGCCCGAAATCTTCTTCCCTTTCGAACGACCCCCAACTTAGCCTGCGTGGTTGTCACGTCAAACAGTTATAGCTGAAGGGTGGCCGCCCTCGCTGACAGTCCAGGAAAATCCATTCCATGATAGTGTTCCCGAGTGGAGGCAATCTAGACTAAAAACTGGGGTTGGCCGCTTAATAAAGGGTTATTCTATACAGGCTCCACTGCAATATTTACTCCAGCTTTTAAAGGACGAATAAATATTTTTTACTACAAACAGAGTTAAACAACAGTCTCATGAAACAAATGAATCAGCACATTCCGTGTATTAAAACGGCACTCTTTTTGGCTTTTTATATATTTTACCGAGTGGTTGAAAAGGTACTTATGTGGCGTTCTTCCGTGGGATTAGGTATGAAGACTAGACTTCCAATGTTCTGGTTACGTGGAAAGGTGGTTTTTAATAGCAGCAAAATGGCGGACTGTATCAAGGAAGATTGCCTGCTATGTGACAAGGGTATCACAATCTATCTTACAATAATGTCGTGTGAAGGAACAAAAAGCTGGCAAGGAAAGACAAGAACTATTAGGAAAAGGAAAAAAAAAATGCTTCAGTGTTTTAAAACTTGGCACTAAAGTCTCAAGTTACCTGTTTCAGCTGGAATCTGTGGACTTGATACACTTAGTGAAGGAACTGCAGCTGGGTCCAAAAGATTGCCAACAGCGGAGTATTACTGATACTGCCCGGTGTCTCTGCTTTCTGCCGCTCAGAGGTTAGTTGCAAGCTCCTTTTATGCTACTTTGGGACTCATTAAGTCGAACTATGTGGGCAGTAATGACTACTTAGTCACGAAAGGCGGATAGACACTTAAGACAATCTTAGTCATAGGAACTCACGATTATTGTTCTTGGTAACTGAACCCCACAGTGCCCAGACGTAAGAAGTAATATCTAATAAGCCAATACTTTGTTTGTTTGGCTTCAAACGTGTAAGTGTTAATAAAACTGATATTATACTAATACTGAAAAAAAGATTCCAAAACTCACAATTAGAAACAAGGCGAGGTTCTTCTTTCGGGGATAGATAAAAGTTCAATAAAAAACTTAAGACGATTTTCACTTGTCACGCGCATAGAACGATTCTGACTGCAATTTAGTTTATTTCCTTGTAACGGTGTTGTACATTTCTATATATGAAAACTCGTAACAGAAAATAATAATAAGTCAAAACAAATTGAGATGTAACGGACTTGGTAAGGTGTTTTCTGCAATCTTGTCTTTAGCCCAGCCCACGTACTCGATTTTAGTGCCGGGAAGTGGATTTTTTCTTCTTTGACGTTCATTTAAGTTTCTTATTTTAGAAAAACTTTCTTCCCAGCGTATAGGTTCATGATTTCAAAGTCACATTAATCGTGGTGAAATCTGTCAGTTGTGACAACAAATTCCTGAAGTGATATTGAATGTAAGCAGTTGTAATTAAAAGAATGATTTAACAAATTGAAAACGTATAATAATGATTCCGCTATTTTAACGTGCTGCCGACAAAGTTTAACTAACAGTAATAAAAGATTCACATATATTAAAGATCTCAAGCCGGAGGTTTAATTTTCAGTAAACTTAAAAATTTTCTGAATACGATGAGAAATAGGCAGCAAAAAAACGCATCACTACTGAGTGATCTTTCAGTCATTTTTTTGATGCTTTAATTCTGTCACTTGAGAAGGGTATCTTTTGCCTCGAGAGGACATATTTGGGGGGCCAATACTTCTTTAAAACCCTTTAATAAGTGAGTTTGTTTTAACACACACTGAATATTACGCAACTTTCGGGCGAGCAAATGGTGAATAATTCCCTTTCCTAGCCTGCCGGGTTCTGTAGCGTGAAAAAGATTTTAAAAGTTGTAAGTCATTACACAATTGCGCGTGTCCGAATAAAATAATTTACCTCACATTCTCTCACGAAAACTATACAAGCTATCAAAACTAGCATGCCATTGAGGCCTAAAAAACAAACAAACAAATCTGACGGATATCCAGGTTATTATGATTAAAGGATGCTTTCCTTCAAACAATACAAACGAGTTAGTGTCAGGACCGTGCCCCAAATGAGCGCTTCATTAATACAGATCCACGTTTTTCAAGAAACTCGATTTGACTGTAGGCAAACCTTGGGGTGAACTTTTCTAATATGAAAAGAACGAGAGTGCTCGTCATATCACACTAAAAAGGTTGTAAATTGCATTTAGAGTTTGGCCTGGTCATGCACTAATAAAAGTAGTTCAGGGTGGCAACACCAAGAAACACCCTCAGGATGGAACTCGGCTGATAATTTTGAGCACACCATGCTTCAAGAAACCAATAAAAAAAAGTAAAAAAAATAAATAAATAAAAGCTTGAGAACTGAAGAAAGAAAGGACTGAAAAAGAACATTCTATGTTAACTATCTCTCATTTGCTTGTCGGTGTTAGGATGGTTTCTTTAAGACTTTAGGAATTCACTCCAATCCACGCCCCCGAACTTCTTTTAAATCAACAATCGCTCGAGTACTGAACAAAAAGCGTTTTCAACTAAAACGCACGCACGCGGCATTAATGTCAAGACTAATTCTTGGGATTCTAGGATGAAAAAGCTTAACACTGCAAAGAATGCAACAAGCAACTTTCATCACCAGTACCAAGGCTGAGATTGCTCTCAAAACATTTTCGTTCCTTGCAAAAGTAGGGATCTCTACGATTTTTTTGTCTTTGTAGACTCACATGATCACTGGCAAAAAAGACCAGGTGATGCATGACATGAGCGTAAACACACAAGGCACATTAAATAGGCCACAATATCTCGTATATCAGTGTGCCAATATTGTGATAACACGCTGACTAAGGTTAATGGTCTGGAAACAAAATAAAAATTAGATGAAACTGATGAAAATACACCTGGTTTTTAAGGCAGAAAATTATCAGTTGGGATCCATAGTACCTATCGCTGCCTTGTTATCACAAAGCTCACACAAACAATAATTATAAACCAAGATCAACTTTAATTGTCTTGTCTTGATGTCACTTAACAATATAGCAAAATTTCCACTCACTTCTGCTATTAATTAAGGCACTTGTAACAATATAACAAACTTTCCAGTTCATGGCCGATCTTTTATATCACCATGATATGTTTGATTACGGCAAGAGCCATGCAATGCATGTGTAGTATCGGCCTTGTATGTGATATTACAGAAACTCAAATGCTAGTGGAGTTTAACTTAATTAAGATAGTTTTAGCTGAGCGTGTACAGAGATCCTGCAACTTGAAATCAATACTCATTCAAAATCTTTCCATTTAAAGTAATTTTTTTGCATGTAGATCGCCGGGATGGCTTAATAGCACGCGACTGAAAAGGATATGAGACATGCTAACCGTGCCATATAAGCCTGTTTATAAGACTATAAAACAGTCCTTGCCTTGCAAAAATACTATCCTGCGTTTAAGTGGTCACTAGCAGTTAGAACCTCAAATGGGCGCTAAACCTACATAACATGTGGGTAATCGTCAAGTTGTGACTTAAGTTTGAGGTGACCATATAGTAAGAACTGACTTCTGAGGCCATTTTGTTAATATTCCTATTAAAAAGAATATTAAGAAGACTTCTACTACATTAGACCTTATTCAAAATTACGTCACGTTCTTACGACGTTTAAAGAGCAGTCACGTGGAAACATATCTCGGTGCTAAAATAAGGTAACACATTTTTTCTCTCCAAACAAAAACGGTGGCTAAATCGACCGAAAGAATTGGTAAGTTAATTTTCCAAGAGCAATGACTTGCATGAAATAGTTGACGCATCTAAGACAGTCCAAATGTGATTTCTTTACTTTAATAGGTCTGTTTGTCGTCCCTAACGGATCGACCTATCGGAATATACGAGATGATTAGAAAAAGGTTGACACTCGAAAGGCTCAATCAGCCACGAGACCAAGACCGTCACATAATTGATGGGTAGATTGCTGAACAATCTCTCCCCTATAGAAATCTTTTTTTGACTCGCCCCAGCCCTCTGGTTCTCTCTCTCCAAGATGGCGGTATAATAGCATTATTCTCGAAAAAAAAAATTATCTATCACGCTGCTAAATACGCCTGCTTTACGAGCTACATAATGTCCAAACAAGCCATCCCATCAATAAGTTTTGCCTGTTTTACCGTGTTAACCCCATTGAGACCCTCTGTCAAAGCTAAGATTTAAGGGAGAACAAAAAACGCCCACCATCTCCTTGCAAATTAAATAAGTCCCAAAAGTGTAAAAAATTGAGGAGTAAATATGGGGCAAAGATAGTAAAAGCCACGGGAGTGTAAATAAACAGGCAAATGTGGCATTTACCAACTTTGTCCAGATTTTTTTGCGACTTTGTGCAAATCCATTTTTTCGTCCAGTGATAAAGATTGTTATATATGCCACCACTAAGAACCCAAACCCACTCAAATTATTACGACTCAGTCAGACAAATCAACAAGGACTCAGCGCAAACATCAAATCCCCGGCACAAAAACAGTCATGTGATGATCCGAGACCTATTGTAGCCATTTTGCAACGGGGAACTGAGAAAAAAAGTTCTCGCGCAACCAAACTTTTTGTACTGCACCTGCTCAAACTGCCTCTTACGTAATTACTAACTTGGGAAAAATGAGCTTTACAACCTAGGTAATGTCTAAGGATAAGTTTGGAGCTCCCTCGCTCCTCCATTATATTTAAAAAAAATCCTGGATTGTCCGAACAAAAGTCTGTTTTTCGGATTGCAAAAACGCTCTATCGCTGAAAAAAAAAAGTTTTTATTCCTTCATTGACATAATTACCAGTTATTAACAGTTATAACAAAAATATTAGAGCCAATATGATAAATCATCTCTCAATAACGTCACGGAAAAGTCAAATCAGATTACATCGTGTCGTAATTAGGGAATCAGTGAAGCAGATTTAAGATTGGGTAACCAAGAAAGTCCGATATTGGACAACCGCATGCATGCAATATTGAAAATTAGGCAAGTCCACTAGTTAGTCACACATTGTAAAACCTCGGTCAAAAATTTGTCCTCCAACATCGTGTTGAAAGATCATGTTTTTTACTGTTTAGCTGCCCTTTTCGCGGTATTGCATTAAAATGGCTATCAAACATTTTTTTTTTAATCCAAAGTTTACATCACACCAAAGTTTGATCGTTTAGCTGGGGCCTAAGACAACCTTCCAAAGAAGAAAATCAGCCTTTTCCCACTCCACTTGAGAAATTCAATTAAAAAGTAAAAGTCGATATAACTGATGTAAAAACCGGCCAGTAGAGCCTTTTTAGAGAAATGGGGGGGTATAAAATGAAACGCTGGTATGTTTAAAAACCATTTTTTTCTGTTACAGGTTCTTCTGGTATATGAATATCGTATAGTCAAGTAAAAGTTCAGAAGTTTATACACGTCTGTCTCGATAAAATGCTGTATATTAAGTAGTCATGTTCAAAAAATTTCAGTGTTGCGCTATATAAGTTGATGACTGAGGTTTGGAAATTTCCCGGGAAAGTGAACAAAGCTTTATAATTTTTTATTCTTTCACATTAATATATTTAAAAAAGATGATGCAACAATGCGAGTGCAGCAATGTAGTAAAACTGCCAGCCGAGGCTTAGTCACCAAAAATTAACGGCTTGTGGGTAGAAGGTTTTATCGTAAGTCATACACTGTGCTATAATTATCTCTGTGGTGGTCTAGGTTACTGACGGGAGTTTAGATATAAAATGATCATCGTTAATATCGGAATCTTCTCAGAGAAACAGCGCTAAAGAATCCAATATAAACTTGAGTGGGACACAATCAATTGATGGAGCTGGCTGAGAGAGCAAAAAATAAAAATATGAAGAATTAAACACTGAACACTGTCAAGATAGTTCTCTAAAACTGAAATCAAAGAAGCACTCTCTAACCTGCATTCAATATCGCTCTCTTAATATCTACTTTTTTTATTTTAGTTTACAAGGCAGCTAAGCCGGCCATGCGTTAAAATATTTCCCGTGACCCTCAAACGTCGGCGCTTGAAGAACTGAGATTCTATGTCGCCATGCGTAGGCAATTAAGACTGAAATTGATCAATAAGCTACATTAATTATTGATTGATTTCTGACAATGGCCACATTTTTTCTTCAAGAAATCAAAGTTATGCCTATTTCATTGAGAATAGAAGGAAATTTTAAGTTTTTTGTTTAGAATTATTATATTTTTGAGTCAAAATGATATTAAACAAAACGTACAGACAAACTAAAACAAAAACAAGGATAGATATTTCGGGATTTTTACCATACTGCATCCATGATTCCTATCGTACATAACATTTCACGTGCTGTCACCTATCAAGTGACAAAAAGATTTAGCCAACACCTCTTAGTTAACGGAATTTTTTTTTGAACGGTGTTCGCATTGATACTTTTACTTGAGGTAAATTGGCATCAAGTCTAATATTCTATTAACTTACGAACGAACAGATATTACATGTGCGCAGTGGACGCCCAGCTCAACGGACACTCACTAATAATACGGACACCTGTATATGACGAACAGGGACATTTGTCCCGATGAAAAGCTCATATATTTTAAACGAACATCGGTTGATAAGGACAACGGACATTTCTCTTTGTCCTGCGTCACAAGCTCTCATAGTTCTCAACCCCGCTTTACAAAGTGAAGTAACAAATTCCATTGCCGTCGCGTCTTTCAAGAACAACTCTTTTAAGTGATAAAAGTCACGGACGTAAATTATCACATGTGATACCAAATCTTTCATTTACGAGAAAACGTTGTTTTATTCTGTAAGTTTAACTGTAAAAAGTCGTTCCTAAGGAAAGCTTACGATCTTATATCATCATGTAGTCTTGGACTAAAATCAGTTACCTTTTAACAGCTGACGTTTATTTACATTATGTAAGTTTATGTTTAACAGTGAGATCGGTAGCCTGTTCCAGCGAAAAAAGCGGGAAAACCGCTTTTCGCTCGCTCACTATTTCGCTGCTCGCGCGCCTTTTTCGCTTCTTGCTCGCTTTCTTCGCTCGTCTACACTGACCGATAGCCTGGCACCGGCTATAAGATCGGACGTTTCGTTAACCTTCGAGGCTATTCATCTCAAACAAGATACTGCGCTTCTAATCCTTATAATAGTGTGGTCCATAAACATAACACAACCACCTTTCTCTATTTATTCTTTTAATTATTTCAGATTAAAAACCACTACAATAACCTACTATCGTAGGAGCTCAATACTTTGTATGGCGCCCGAAGGATCATTTTTGAACAGCATAAAATGTCCCTGTATATGTGCAATACTTTTCCTCTGGCCCAGGCCCATCACTTTGTCCGCAAACTCCTCTGCACGAGCGAAGGTCTGGTCAGGATAGAAACGCTTATACATCTTGTAAAGCTGGCTCTTAGAAGCGAGACCAATTTCCTGTTTAAGGTCTACCCTGCCTGGCCGTATGAGGGCTGGGTCGAGCCTTTCAAGATGATTGGTTGTCATGAAAACAAGGCGCTCTTCAGAAGATGCCACGCCATCTAATGTGTTTAGAAGACCGCTGAATGTTACCTGAAACATGAATTTGTCGCGTGAAAAGGTGCTTTCAAGGGGGGTTATTCACACCCCTACTCTCCCATCCCACCTCTTCCAACCCCCCCAAAAAAGGGTTTTACCTTTGCTCATTACACTTTCTCTACCATTAGAAAACTTTCATTGCACTTTGACTGAAAGCATAACAAGGGTCATGGCGAGGTCCACATATTTTTTTGTCAAAGCTATGAGATGCTAACTAAGTATGCTCAGTCATCTTTTCTCATCCTTGGAACTCTAAATGAAGTAATATCAAATGATTCTATTAAACGGATAGCAAAGCCAAATCGTTTTTTTTTTTTGGCAACTTGACAAAGTTTGCCCAGCGTTTTCAAGTTGCTATCCTAAAAATACTGGTCATTGAAAGCCAAAAAAACATGTATTCATAGTTGAGATATAATTTATAGTAGAGGAAGATTTTGAAATAAAACTGAGCTTTATCTCATGGTTTTCTTCTATTCCAAAGTGTTTTTTGGGGGGTTTCAAAGAAATAGCAAAAAGATTTTTTAAATAGCTCCTTCAATTTTCATTTCCACTACAAAAAAAAAACAAACAAACAAACAATAAACTTAATATCCATCCACAAACTGACAAGCTGTTTTTTTGGTTATAATTTCAAGACAGATTGCACTTTTAAGGTAAGTTTAAAAGGTGCCAAATTAATACGTATATTTAAACAATGTTTAACTTTAATAAACAAAACCAGCAATCTACATTTACTTCAATTTGTATTTACCCTGTTTGGATAGCTATATGCCTTTCCCTCTTCCTTTTCATCTGTTCTCTTAACAAAAGCTGCATCAATATCCTCTAACAGCACTATACTCTGCTGTGGTGCACAGCTCATTAGATGGATGAGGCGGTCATCTGACAGGCTGCGGTCACTTAAGTTCATCACACAAATACTATAATCCAGTTCTCCAGCTAATGCTTGACTAGAAGATAACAACAGCAAACCATGCTTTTGGTTAAGAAAGTGGGTATAATGTAACTTCTACAACAGGATTCTCTTGCTTTCTTACAGAAGGAAAGGAACTGAAGGAACAGTATATGTCTTTTAAATTCTGTGCCATCACTAATCAATCTGCTTACACAGCTATCTCTCCTTGCTCATCCCCCAGTGGGACATTAACCTGGTGATGTCAAAGGAGCGGAGAGAGATGGCTGTATTCGCAGGCCATGGTGTGACAAAATTAAAACGTTTTCATGACAGATTAGTACTCACAGCTGAATATACCCCAAAATCTTGCAGTACAAGTGGGGAACACACTGGAATCTCAGCTAAAGCTGTGTAAAACATGCCACCACCAAAACAATAAATAAATAAATATAACTTTCTGTGTTATTGTATAAATTTTAACTTGCACATTAAAGACAAGTAAAACTTGGTTTAAATGCTCAAGCAATAATCAGAGCAAGAACGTAGGAATGGAATAATGGACATACATGAAGCTACTTTTTCCACATCCTGGAGGTCCATAAAGAAGGTAACCTCTCCTGTATGGTATACCTAAAAAAAAAAAAAACAAAAACAGCACTGAATGAAAGTTTAGCAATAGCACATTCAGCAGAGTTAGGAGATTGAAGAATAAAAGGGGACTAGTTTAAAACAAAAATGAGGTGAAGTATTGAGTGCAGGAATGAAATGCAAAAACTGAGTGCTGGTCCCTCATTAGGGATTAAATGTAGCTGACAAAACCACATCAAGTTAACAGACTTAAATCTCTAACCCACAATACATGTACATTCAGGAAGAAATATAGAGTGTAAAACGAACACACTCACTGAGAGTCTATGGCTCAAATTAAAAATAAGACACTTGTCAGGGTGCAAAAAAATAAATAATAACAGCAATAATAATAATAGTAATAATAACAAATAAGTAAAATAAACTCCATTTGTCCAATAGACAAATGATTCAAGGTTTACTTGTCCAGAGTAAATCTAATTTTTCTAAGAGATATGAGCTTAATTTCAAAACCAATGCAGTGGTAGTATAAGGTATACCTATTTTCATCCTATTTAATGAAAGTAAAGTATTTTCTAGAGTAATTGTATGTGCTTAGTTAAATTGTCTTCCTGATGTCAGTATTTCATTTATCAAGACGTATATTTCCAAAAGGTGGTCCTATTCACAAGCGTTAAAGGCTTCCTTGAGCTCCCTTGCCTCATCTTTTTCCTATATATTTAACTTCTATCAGTGGCAAAAAAATTATGATTAATAATAAAACAAAAACATAAGGTATTATATAGAATCTTTGGTTTGGGGGCTTTTTCAAATGTCTGCCAGACTCACAGCCAATGAACAAAATAACCTCTATTGTCAGCAAGATCAGGATATATTAACAACATATTCATGCAAACAGTACAAATGCACTGTTGTTAACCTTCTTTCCAAGCATTTTGAAATTTACAGACTCCTGCTGCTGGCTTCACATCCAGGCTTTTTTGCTTGTTTTTACAATGTGTACTAAAACAGGCCAAAATCTCCGAAGGGTAGGGGGTGTCCACGTGAAATAATTTTTTCAGACTTGAGGTCATGCAAAACTGGCAATAATCGAACATGTACTTACACATATTATGTTGTGGAGGCAAGCAAAAATTAAGCAATGAAGGCAAGGAAGTGCATTATTTTCTAGAAATACATCATCTATTCTAATCACCAAACTTAAAGCTTGACGAAGAGCTAGAAATCATGTTGTTTATAACACAGAATTGTTTCCAAACAACTTCTTTGCCTTAGAAGGTCACTGACATTTCTTCGTGTAGTGAATTTCGGGAGCAGACTTTCGGTCACCTGCTTGTAATCAAAAATTAAAAAATTGTAATCAAAAATAAAAAGGATCATGTTTCACTTACAAAACAGACAATACATGATGACATGTGAAACAGTGGAATATTTTTCCAGGTTTCATTTTGAATGTTCCTTTGAGACTTTTTTCTACATTTTAAAGTTTGGTACATTATTTTAGTAGCACTTTTAGTCTACCGATATTTTCAGAGATTAGCAAATATCTGTTGAGGATACAATTTTATTTGTAAGGAATCAGATGTCTGATGCTACCATAAATTAAACAAACAGATTTGCTGCAAACATTTGAATAAAAAATGTTACTAGTTTGCAAACAAATGATACTCAAACCATTCCACTGGTTGGTCAAATGCTTTGAACAAATTTTTAAAAGCATTCAAATGGATAGTACTGAAATAGCAAACAGCTATCACGTTGAAGACCCTTGAAGTAGATTACGGCTCGTTTGAGTTGCTTTATTTTCTTTACAAGAGAGTGTTTCATAGATAAAACACATCCTTGATTTTATTAAACCTTAAAATTTAAGCAAACAGCTGAGACGTATAAGTGAGTCCTTATGGCGAACAGCTTCTCACTCTAGCCATATAAAAATGTTCAGTTATATCTCAGACAGTATGTCAACTGAAAAAATTTACTATTTAATTAATACTCTGTAATTTTGGTTTTGAACATTCACCAAAAGAGCAGAGCGTGCTATACGTCCTTTAGAAATATTGCCTTAAAAAAAGAAAATGTTTCAACAATACTTAAAAGGTATTTCTAAAGACATGAACAGTGATGTTTAAGCGTTTAAACAGTAGATAATTTCCAAATACTGCAAATTTAGGCCACTAAAAGAAAATAAAAAATTCCAGGGGAAGTGGGGGGTTTTATAAGACCCCTCTGCAATGGAAATTCTGATGGGGTGGGGGTCTTATCTAAAAGATCATCGGGGGTGGGGGAGGGGTATGGATATTTTCTGGAATTACACAATATTGGACACCATTTTTGTTGCACCCTTTCAAGACACATGCCCCACGAGGGCTGATGTGTACATATGTACAAGTGTTTTCTTGTCATTTAAACCTGGTGCTGAGTGTCCAGATACTACATAACTTTATATCTGCAGGGTGAACTTGTAGATGGCAGTCCGTAACAAAAAAAAAACTACAAACACTGGCATATAAAATTTATAAAACTTGATTAGACTTTCAAACCTCTGTCCATGTACCACTTGGGGGATGCAATAAAATCCCTAACATCAGCTAAGATTCTCTCAGATACACCATCGTCAAGAATAACAGAGTCTATAGGTCTTTTTCGTCGCGGAAACCCGAACGGTTGCCAATCTGTCCCTCTTGCAACGTACATGACAGTTTTACCCTCCTGCTTTGCAAGGGCCGTGCTTCTTGCTTCACTCAGAATATCAAAGAACAGCTGCTTATTTGTGGCAAACGATGTTAGAGTTACAGATTCCCAAGGGGCCCCACTTGAAAGGTCTACCATTTTTTCAGCTCGAGTTCTTTCCACTCTCACAAAGCTTTTCTTGTATCTGAAGAAATGCACCCCCGGACTAGGCGAAAAATCAAAATTTGTTTGCACTTTTCCCGTTTCTTGTTGGACGAATGTTGTCTGAACGCTAAGATGCTGAGCTCGCTGGCCCTGAGCTGCAATCCATTGCAAGACCCACTGATAACTCTTGTCATTACTTGGAACTTCAAGGGTGATAATGGCGTACCGACGAAATAAGGTGTATGCGTGCAAGCTTCCTTTTCTCAATACAGCAAGTCCAGCTCCTACCCCCACTAGACCGAAACCAGCTGAAAAATAAGGATTACTCCCCAAAGATGCGATCAGTTCAGAGAGAGGCATTTTCTAAATCTGTTTAGTTCATATTTTCAGTCTTGTCTTCACTGCAATCGCCGCCATGTGTAATTTTCTGCGAGCCCGCAGTCTTGCTGCCAGAGGCCAATTGCAGACACAGAATCTTCGTCATGTAATTTGCATTAGGTGTACGCTCTGTTGACAATCAGCTTTTGTTTTCTGATCTTTAAAAAATCTCCTCTCCCCTAGCCCCTTAGGAAGGCTTGATACTCAGGCTGTTATGACCTATTTATGAATTTTGGCCGTCACGCCAAGATTCAAATCAATTTATTAAAATCCCTTTTGTCTGAAATTTGAAAACATTTTCATCCCATTACCGGATTAGCATAAGCGCTATTGGCAATTACCTTTGATTAAAGATATTTATGTATAAAGATATTTATTTATGTATATTTATGTATGTAAATCTCCACGCATATACTTAACACAACTTCCCTCTCAGCTTGGCACAAGACATCTATCAATCAACCACGGTTTTCTTTTTTGTAACTCAACACCGCCATAACAATCCCTCATACAATGACTCTCAGTTCAAAAAAACAGTCAATAATAATTCAGTGTTAGATACAATTGCGTAGCAGTCTTTGGCAATGAAGAGCGAACGATGCCGAAGCACGTCGCTTACGGCCCATCACTTCTTTACTTTGCTTAATTTTGTTGTTTTACTGATCGCTGCAACCTCGCTCTTCTGTAATATGTATCTGCTTCGAAGAGAAATCGAGTCTGTGAAGACCGATGTTCGTCCACTGTTGGAGAGACACAAGGAAATGTCTTCGCGGCAATCTGCAGACATAGTTTTCAGGTCGCGGAATATTCGTCAGTTGGATGAAGGAGGGGGAGGCCATGGAATGATGAGTGTAGCCCCTAGCCCAAATGACACAGGGAACGGTCATGGCGGAATGATGACGGTAGCGCCTGGGCCGGATGACGGAGGAGGTAGTCATGGCGGAATGATAACTGTAGCCCTTAGACCTGATGGCCGAGGAGGAGGACATGGGGGAATGACGACATCAGCCCCTGCACCAGATGAAGGAGGAGGCGGTCATGGGGGAATGATGACTGTAGCCCCCGGACCTGATGGCGGAGGGGGAGATCATGAGGGACTGACGACATCAGCCCCCCCACCAGATGAAGGAGGGGGTGGTCATGGCGGAATGATGACTGTAGCTCCTGGACCAGATGACGGGGGAGGTGGTCATGGCGGAATGATGACTGTAGCCGCCGGACCTGATGGCGGAGGGGGAGGTCATGGGCTGATGACGGCCGCCACCGGCTCACATAACCAAGGAGCCAGTGCGATTACTGAACCTCCACAAGCAAGAGAGCAACGAAGCAGTACTACTGGGCTGCCAGGAAGGGAAACTACAACGCAGGGGGCTGATCAAACGACGGTGACTGCCCCAAATGCTGGACTGAATCAACCGAGCACTGCCAAGCCGACTGTAGGTAAGTGAAGGGATTAAACAACAGAAATCTATGAACTCCTGACCAGTAATGCGCAAACTATAATACGCAACGTGTTGAGACATGGTTTTATTGACCGCCACTGCAGGGGGCTTGGGGAGGGGGAGTATGTCCATTTTGCACGATTAAATTGTAGTAAACAAGTGTTTTTTTGTGATACGAGACAAAGATACCTTTCCGCAGCTGCTGTGTTGGAGAGAATAATTGACTACAAAGAGAGTGATTCGCATTGCCTTTCAGAATAAACACAACTGTATTTGATCTGATCCAAGGCGGTAAACATTCATAAACGATCAGCGAGACGAAAAGCATAAATCCTCAATAAAATCACATGCAAATGTTCTTGACGTGTTCTCGACGTAACAATTCTGACACGTGACCGCTGACCGGAAAATCTTAGAAGTATCTAAATGTCCGTTCTGCTTTCCAAACTATTTGACAACTTTAATTCGTATTAATTTAACTACCAAAAAAATGCGTTATATGTTGTGAATTTGTTTCTAGATCCAGTGGGTAAGGAGCAGGCGCCGGTAACAAGCGAAGGAATGAACAAAACAATTGAGCTGTATTTAGCAGAGTACGCGAGGAAACACCTTGGTAAGCCATGCACTAACCAGTGCACCGAATTCAAATTTCCCCGACTTTTTTTAATTTCGCCATAGCTCGAATGACCAAACATCTATTGAACGAAACGGCTTGTAAATTAATGGCAATTAAGCACTAGAGACGACTCAGAGAAATGTTATTTTACCGAGAGCTCCTAATCGATCTATGAGATTCCCTAAAAGCGGACCTATTGTTTTGCTCAACTACTGCAGTAGGAGATATAGGGCATGGGCCACCAAGGTCCCCATCTTATTTTCATGCAAAACTGAAGCCCTCAATCCAGGATCCCACCCCACCTCCCCCGCCCCTCTTATCTTGGGATGAATGGGTCCCCAACTTACGTCATGAGTGCATGGAATAACTTATGGTATTCGATGCTTTCTCTTGACAATCCTTGAATATCGCACTCAAGGCAAACCAGTCAAATTAAAGTATTATGAACATGTATGATTACGATGTTTGCTATCTCGTTTTTAGGGCCCATGTTTGTGCCTGGTGCCACTGCACCTGATGAAAATCCTCTGAAGTCATTTGTTGATCAGTCAGTGTCAACTGCTCTAATCAAATACTTTGAAGACAAGGGGGACCCAGGTATTCAAGTCAATAATAGTCCCAAAAGTGTTTCAACGCTTAGAACAAACTGCGCCATCCCTAGTAAGAAACTTGCACGGAAACGGAATTTCAGGAGATTGACGATCGTTTTGCGACTTTATTACTCTATTTTTTATTTTCATTTCTATTTTTTCTGAACTTTCCAAGTGCATGCACAGGTGAAGAATGAGCCAATGTTATAAAGGAGCCCATCACCTACTGACGTTACCAGAAATGCGTTAATCGCAAAAAACTCGTGATATGTAATAGACTAGCAGTAAGAACAAGGGGAAAAAAGCCAAGGGAAAGCCAAAACAAAACGAAAAAATATACAAGAAAGAAAACAACATCTTAGCCAAGAGTCGAACCTGGACCGGGCGTCTCCCTTCGTCGCTCTCGGTCTCGCGCCCATACATATTTCTTTCCCCTGCTCTTCTGAACGCCTGCAACGCAGGCTATAGAACTGTGAATAACAGGTCACTTAAAAAATAACTAAAAACTTGCAGGCTAAAAGCTCAACTATTCTGTAAAGCTTACATAGATCCGTTCACAGGTTTAGACGTGTCATGCTGGCTTGGCTATAGTTTTCTACACAAACCTCCAACAGTACACTTAAATGGTCCAAAACGTTTGTTTCTCTTTGAGTTACCTACTTAACACTGTCATTTTCTCTTTGTAGACGTTCAAACAATCCCAGGTCCTCCTGGACCCCAAGGTCTTCAAGGTCCTGCGGGTCCCCCAGGGATACAAGGTCCTCCGGGTATTCCGGGGGCATCTGGTCCTGCTGGTGCAGCAGGATACCCCGGAGCATCAGGTTCTCCCGGACCTCCCGGAGCCCCTGGTGCCGCTGGAAATACCGGCCCACCAGGACCTCCGGGACGTCGTGGCTTACGTGGTCTTCCTGGACCCCCTGGACCTCCTGGTACTGGGGGAACAACACCAGTGGTTCAGCCAAGGCAGCCAAATCAAGGATCTCAAGAGCCTGTGCAAAAAGGACCATCCTTAGAAGGATTTTGTAAGTTGATGTTTGATATGTTGTTTACTATTTTGAAGTGTTATTTGAAGTTCGATTTGAAATCACACAAAGTATGATTTCTGACCAAACCTGCGCGACACGAAGTTCGATTACCACTTTTTTACAGGCATTTTGACATCGCAGAATTCAGGAAGTAAGGCAATATTTTATACCCCCGAGCAAGCTCTCCGGGGCGCTAGCTAAATATTTTATTGATCAAGTAGCCGGTTTATCGGAAAAGTGGCAACAAAAAGGTTTTTTGAAACAGAAATGGTGCGATATAGAGCAAAAATGGAGTGATTTAAATCAGATTGATGTGATTAGTACATGAATTATGTGAGTTAGAACAGATGTGATTTAGAGCAAAAAATAGTTTGATTCGTGAATAAATCACATTGCTGAGAGCCAATCAGACTGCAGTTATAACCAGTCATTTCAAAATTTGTATAATAAAGTATAATATGGTCAACTTCCGATGTAAAGAATTGAAACTGATTTGTGTTGCTTTTCAATTTTCACTTCTTATTTTAGCCAAACCCAACATTACTACTAGGCCAAAACAACCTGACCCAGCCACAAAAGGAGATATGATACAGCTGCAATGTTTGGCTCATGGCACTCCAAAACCGGAAATTATCTGGATAAAGAAGAATAGCGGAAGAGCTGTCATCGGAAGTAACTTTATTCTGGAGTCCGCTCTCCCAGAGGACTCTGGGATATGGACGTGCAGGGCGAGTAACTTAATGGGTACTGACACCGCTGATGTTGAGATCGTCGTCGCAAGTGAGTGGTTTTACATACAAGTTAGGACTAGTTTTCATCCTGAATTTTTTTTAAAAGGTGAAGTTAGGCGTCGGCCCATTGACCCACCAGCTTGTTGAGATATACATAGTTGTACTCTCGTTTTTTTTTTTGTGCTTACAATGAAGATGAAAAGAGAGCTTGCTTATACTGAATAGGCACTCTTCATTTTTTTTTTCTAATAATAATGCAATTCGCTTGTTTTAATCAAAACGAACGAAAGTGGCAACGAGCAACATTTGACTGCACCAGCAATTGTCTTGACTGAACTTGTGAATAAACTGCATCCTGAGGGCCACTCTGAATCTTGCTATCGATGCAGCTTGATGGAGGCTCCTTCTTCTTCATAATGAACATTTTCTGTTCATTGTTTTTTTTACTGTTGTTTTTAGCGGAACCTAAGTTTACCATCGCCCCAGTTCCCAAGATAACGGCTTTTACGGAACAAGTCACAGAAATTAAATGTGCCGTGGAAGGTTTTCCGACACCAAAAATCGAGTGGCGTCGCCAAGGAAACAAGGAACTTCCGCGCGGAAGACACTACATTTACAATAACAACCTTTTCTTGCGTAATCCAATCAAGGAGGATGAAGACATTTACATGTGTCACGCGGAAACTCCAGTCGGGTCTGTGATGGGCGGTACAGAAGTCACGGTTCTAACGTATGGTGAGTGCGCCTTTTTGCTACCTTTTTCATAATTGTAGCCTTAATACACATTGCAATAAACATCCATACAAAAATTAGGAAAAAAAAAAAGAGTTAAGCATTCATCAGAAAATCATCAAGTGAGTTATCATTTCACACATTTTTAAATGATCTAACAGAGGCCCACGAGGTAAATAACCAGATACCTGCTGCACAGTCATAAATAATTATTATAGCTGTTGTGTGAAGTACTACGGCTGACACAAGCAGTTATTACTGAGAGATTAAGAATCACGTTTATGCCAAATAACAAAAGTAAATTTGTACCACGTGACTTAATTGTCGCTTTCTGTTTATTACTTCGTTTACTCAACAATAAGTTGTTTCACACCAGTTTCATCCATAAGAATTGTCCTCGACAGTTCTTATTTTCTATTCTGAGAAATTCTCGTCTTGAATCTGACGTTTTCCTTTTCAAGTTGCCGTAAACGTGACTCTTAAGCTTTCTGCGGGAGGAGAAGTTAAGAGCGGGATAGAGACGCATTAATTACCGCATCCAATGAAACTCATAATACGCCTGCCTACAGCTGACTCTACGCTGTCATCAGTTCAAGTCGAGTTAGAAGTGACGTTTTATATGCAGAATTTTGTTATTATTCCTCCTCCTCCTCCTGTCTATTCTATATTAGAGACCTTTAGATGCGAGGACAAGAACGACTACCAGTACGAGATTTGACTGGAAGTTTTTTCGCGGACGTACTCTCAAAAAATGGACACCCCGAAAAGCTTCTTTGGTACCTTTTTGATTCACCAAAAAAGTTCGCACTGTTATCTTTATTGAAGGAGATTACGTCCTCTTCCGATTGCAAAATGACAAAAGTACTAACATTTGATAACTTGTTTCCGCTACTACGACATTCTCACCAAGACTCGTAGAAGAATGACGACGGCTAACACGTTTTCCCGCCAAAATGACGCTAGTTCACGCACACGCACTGCTTACTGCCGAGAAAATCCCCTGCTCTTAGTCGTTCTCTTTTGAGAATCTAAAGGCCTCTAATCTCTGAATGACTCCTATATAAAAATATTCACTGCAAAAGGGGTGTATTCATCATTCAGAAACTTAAATCTTTATTTCCTGGGATTGTTTTTAGAGCCTGTGCAAGTTGTTTCTGTCCCAAAAAGTGTAGTAACAGTTAAAGATTATGATGCCCCTTTGCGCGTCAACTGCTCTGCTAGAGGCGTTCCTCAACCGAACATCACGTGGTATAAAGACGGCGTCGCCATGCCGACAAGAACAATTATTGACGGTGATGAAGTTATTGCAGAATTGAACCTGGAGCGCCTGAGGCCTTCTGAACAAGGCGACTACAAATGCGTTGGTTTTACGTCATTGCGTCCAGAGGATCCTTTCTCGTACACTACAAAAATTCGTAAGTATTCCATTTTCCATTGTTTTTGTACATAAGAATATGTTGAGATAAGACAAAGAAAAAAATAAATATATTTAGTAAAATCCAACCAGTGATCTATTATCAATGCTGCGTTCTGATTGGTTCAGCTACTACTAGGCTATATGGTATAGCCCACTAGTAGCGAAAAGCGCCGGCTTTGAAAACCAAAACAATGGCGCTAAATCGCGTTTTGCTTGCTAAAGTTGTTTTGTCTCGATATTTTTGACCAACTAGTTGGATTTTTTTTCTTGAGCCCATTCGGGTTCGAGGAATAATTGTTAAATATTTAAACTAGGAAAAAAAAAACACAAAAAAACAACAACAACAAAAACAAGAAAACTAACACAGAGGCAGATAATGTTGAGTCTCCTCCTCACTGACAGGTTTACCTTGGCTTACTCAATATCTGGAATGAAATCGATAGTACATATATATGACAACTCTTAACTCTTAAGTGCAAACTAAAAAGGAACATCTCTAGTACTCGTGTCTGGCGTTTAGCTATTCCATTTATTGTTCTAGTTTAGACTTGCTGTGTAAAAGCGTGGTTGTTTTCTTGTATAACAGGTGTAACAAAATTGTTTTATTATTATTATTATTATATTTATTTACGTTGTTGTATAGCGAGGGTGTAGGCTCTTAAACTTTCTTGTTTTTTTTTTATTATTATTATTTTAATTAAGATCCAGAAACAGGCTAGTTTTCAGGTAAAAAAAAAAGGCGTGAGGAAGACTTCTTTGATTGTCAATGTGCGCTCACTAAATCTACAGCTGAGATTTTTTTTCTTGTATTTCTTATCATTGGTTGTTTGTTTGTGTGTTTGTTTGTTTTTCATCCACAAAGAGCTCAAACAGTGCCGTGAACTAGCAAACCCGGTGGACGGTTACAAAATATCTGACGGCGAAGGTTCCCCTGTGGTGGGTAGTATCGTGCGCTTTGCTTGTAATCCTGGATGTATGTTATACGGATCGTCTGCGAGGGTATGTGGCAAAAATGGCCGATGGAGCGGAACTCAGCCTTACTGTAAGTTTGGAAACATGATTGGGGAAAAATAGTAAATTTACTATTTTATTTTTGTCCTTTAAAAGAAAAAAACAATAGCAAACTTTTGATAGTGCTGCTGGACTAGACACTGACTAGATGATCAACTTCAATTCTCTTACGGAAAGAGATTAAGTAATCGCAAAATAATACTGCGAGAAGACTGGATAGATAGATAGATACTTAGATAGATAGTTTACTAGATAGATAGTTTATCAAAATAAATACATGATCAACATGGCCAGCCAGAGGCTGAATTGCGTATTTACAAATAAAACTAAGCTAAAAAAAATTGAATAATTTACAATACGTCAATATTAAAAATATTAAAAATTCATGCTTATAATAAATAAAGGCATTCAAACCGAATCATTTAGTTGTACTTTAGGTACGATGACATAATAAAAGTGTTCTTAAAACTGTCCGTCTCCCACTTTGAAAGTGCAAAGTGTCGGTGATTTCTCAGTAAATATGGAGCCTTATTGGCTTCAGTTAATTAATAGCCTGTTAATCTTGGTGTTTGGACTGGAGCCGCTTCTTTCTTTCTTTTTTAGAAATAAATAAATAAATTAGTTAATTGATTTCCGGGAAAAAAAAAAGGTAAAATGATTGTATAATGTTGGAGACTTGGGACAATCACGTTGTTTGAGCACTATTGAAGTATCAAATTATATAGTTCATTTGTTAAACGTCAGAACGCTGGTAGATGGAGTTATGATGTTTAATTGATGTATCTGTTGGTAGGTTATAATGTTGGAACGGTGGCGTACGAATGTCAGCACTACCGCCTACTCACAGAAGGAGATAGAAACGTTATGAGCGGCACACTGTTAGGCAAATGTGACAACAACTTAGCAGAGGGCTGGTACCGAATCTCAGGAACTGCTGGAACTCAGATGCCTAACTCGTGCCCGGGCCCCGGAAAATGTAACACTCAGTATCCTGGTTGGCTGTTTGGTTCACATCCCCATAAGGATGATGGGTGTGTAGCCATGCAGGTTTGCTTTGGTGATTATTTCTCGGGATGTTGCCAGTATCGCAAGCAGGTATTGGTCAGGAATTGTGGGGGATTTTACGTGTACAAGTTGGGTCCAACTCCTGGATGTAATTTTCGTTACTGTGGGCGAAATGCACCTTAGCCACCGAGACAACTTGGTGGAAGGTCGTGAACTGGGATTAAAGATAGTCAGTACTGAAGCATTTGTAAACTGACAATGTTTGACTGACAGATAATGTTTTTTGTCACACCTTGTTACGTGTCTTTCTCTAGAGAGTTGTTTAAGATGAAGTGAGAGCTAAATATACGTTTTAGCAATCACAGCATAAGTTGAAGGGTATTCAATGGAATCAATTATCTATCTTAATTTAACTTAGCCTACTCTGGATGTTCAGAAAGTGGGGAGTGCCGCTTCAGTTCCCTTCTCCTGCTTTGTTTTATCTCCCCTCTCCTTAGGTCGTGCTTCTCACCGCTTAGTCTGTTCACAGACGCGCTTAATTTCCCACATTCGTCGGAAAAAGAAATACAAGAAGGAAGAAAAATGTATTAGGCCAGACTACTTGCTGCTATTTAAAGACCTAGAACAGGCACAAATTATACACTGCATTCAAACCCTTGGCAAACGGGGAACGAAATGCCTTGCGCACGATTATAGTAGAGTAAAGGATTTTAACAGACTTCTTGCTCAGACATACGTTTCCCTTCACTCGCATGCGAGTTCAAGTCGGGTCGAAAAATATGCCATTTGTACAACGGCAGGGATTTAATAGCTCTGTATGGATGGCCAAGTACGACTCTCTTGCTCCAGTAGAATTAAGACGGGGTACAACGAAACAGTCTCTCTATTCAGTTTTCGCCGTTTAAATACATTGACACTTGAAAGAGTGGATTCTTTAGTGCATGGAGGCAGTGGCCTCGGACCAAATATTGATGATGAACAAGAGAGAATGATCATTCTCTCTTGTGATGAATCAAAGTTTTCCTGCAAACGATAAGACACGAAGGCAGAAAGAAATAATTTTATGTTGTGTTTATATCAATATTATTTTATTTTATTGCCCCTTTTGGAAAAGACATTTTTCTCAAAGCGCTTGCTTTAAAAAAGGGAATAATTATATTCATTTGTGGGATCAAACGTATCTATACGTATGCTAACTCGCTGAAGCCTGAACTTCTAAAAAATTTCAGATCGTTCTTTTTTGGGGAGAGGGGGGGGGTCATTTTAGTAGTAGCATACGTAGGTCGTAAAAACACTGACCACTATGAAGGCAAGAAAAAACAGAGCGAACAAGTAAAAGAACGTAGCCGACTCCGAAATTATTGTTGATTCTTTACGTCCTTTAGATTTTGCCTGTTTGGGGTAGGGGGTGAGAAAGGGGAGGGAATTAGGAACGGGTGCTGGGTGCAAGTATTTATCTGCGTGTTTTAGCTTGGTTCTGTTTGAGCTCACAACTTTCCCCCTTTGCTGTTAACGCTAAAGGAACACGTTTATCACCAGGGAAACGTTGATGACACTGATTCCACACTGAAAAAGATATCCTTATTTGGCCCAAATAATGATGGATCATACTGGATGACTTCGTATTTTCCAGCAGCATATAAACACTATAAATGATATATTGTATAACCTTCTTACGTGACTTGTCCAGCAACTAAGGAAGTTAAAATGATTTATTGAATTTCAAAGATTGAATCTATTGCGATCCCAAGATGATTAACTATTGAAATGAAAGCTTTTGAGGAGTTCCCTTTACATTTGGTCCTGTTAAATATTTTGTAATCACTAGTTTGGCAATACTAAAGTTCTCAAAAGTTGTAAACGTGGCTGCTTAAACGGTTCAGCGCTATAAAATTATGGTATGATGTTTGTTCCAGTTCAGCGCTGCTGAGGTTAAATAGACTACAGTTTTTGTCGATGCGCACTGAATGTGTAGTTCGAAGCACAAAAAGCATGATTGAAAAAAAAGCGTCTAGAATTTCACCTTGTACATTCATATAAGTCTAGCACTTCTTTCGTCTTACCAGTGCGATCGGTGCTAATCAAACCATGGCGTCAAGTCGTGCTTCGCCAACCCCATCTACCTTCGTGTCAGGTTTTCATCTGATATTTACACTGACATCTGTTGCTTTTCTCTCATACAAAGTTTATTACTTGGAAAATGAGCTTTCTTTGATCCGAGGAATAATATCTTCTCAAGAACCAAGCAATGTGGACATCACCGCGTCTTTGGCTACTCCGTTGTCTACAGTTCCACCGGAAGAACAATTCGTAAGTGGACGAAATCGTCGAGCTAAGTCATCTTCCTCTGACAAACTCAAGGCAATATGTGCTCAAAATATCCTAAAGGATCTTCAGGCAAGTGTATATTACCTGTTTGTTTGTTTGTTTTTTATTTTTGTGGCCCTAAATATCTCACAAGTAAATACCAGGGAACCACAATGAAACACTTATAGTTAAGAAAGAACTCCTTCCCATATCTTTCCTACGATGTGGTAAAGAAACCAGAGTCACTGTGGGTCACGCTTGATATCATCTTACATTTCCGCATCACACGTTAGAAATCCTCAGTCTGAAGTAATTTGTGATCCAAAAAAAAGGTCTTTCAACTGCTGATGTAGCATAGTGAAAAAACGTCATCAAATATAATAAGATTCATGTTTCATTTGGATTCTTACAATATTAAAAAAGATAAGGTATTTTTCACCTGGGGAGGGGGGGGGGGGGACTTGGGTAAATTTTTGCTGGGCATGTGCCGCTGGCCTCTCAGAGCCCCTACCCCATTATAGTCAATTTTGTGACCAATTATATAGACTCCATCTTAATCACTTTTGGAAAATTATGTAATTTTCGCGATCCCATCGTGGTCACTTTCTATTTTAATGAATTGACCCATTTTTTAAACTGTATGAAGAACACTTTACTTTTCACCTACAGTACAGACATTCTCGTGGTACGTTTGCTAACCGTGAATAAGAACTGTCTCACCCCCAAAAATCCGAAAATGTGCGACCCCATTATAGTCAATCCAGTCGTGAAAATGCGACCCCATCCAGCGGCACATCCCCATTAGCCTCTTATAAGGAAGTCCCCCCGGCTTTTTACTTCCTTGATTCGTTGTCACGGATATTACGCCGTCGCCTAAAGGTGACGTTTGCAGCCACTAAAAGCAAATTATTATTATTTGTTTATTCATTTTTAAAACATTTACCTTTCATGTATCTAAACATTTAGTGTTGAAAGGACTGGTCTTTTCTATATCTTCCTTTTTTTCTTAGGTCGTTGATGATGCTGCCAACAGAACTGGAAAGGTCGTTTGCATGAGAGGTCAGTTCATAATTTGCGTTAATGATCGATATTTCCGTCATTTTTCTTGGCATGCGCGCTTTTTTTAATAACTGACGACTGTGATTTCTTACATATTGGAAAATATTTACTCAATACTCAACAAGCAGTCTTCGTATTCATTTTCTTTTTTAGTCTTTGAAACAAGACCGATAAGCATACGCATAACATTTCCTCAATATTATTATTATTATTATTATTATTATTATTATTATGGCAGTTTTACTCGCCTGGATGCCCAGTATTAGTAAAAAACACAGAAGTTGGAAGTCTGACCGTAACCAACCCCGCGCCGTAAAGTCTTCCTAATGTAAAATATATTGAAATATTAAGAATATCATAACCGGCTCTTGTAAAATATTAAAACGTTAAAAGAGAAAAAAAGCATGTTTCCATTTGTCCTAAAATTTATTATTATTATTATCGTTATTATTACGTCCATTCCTTGCAGACTCAGGCAGGATGCTCGGCCTGGTTTATAGTTCTTGGAAGCGGGTTACAACAAGTCACCACGGGTCCCAGGTCTCCCCTTTCCTTCTTCTTACAGGGACAGTACTTTCCTTAGTATCTTTGCTATCCCAACAATGCTGTTTTCTGGATAACTCCCAACCTCACGTTCACGCCGATTCGCTTCATGTACTCCTTAAAGTTGACTAATACGGCTCCAAGGGCACTACAATGACTTTTTGCATGCGCCAGACTTATCTTTTACCCTGTCATCACCTGGGATGGCAACATCAGTTATGCCAACCTCTCTCTCCTTCATATCAATAAAGACAATGTCTGGTCTTCTTGCCCCAATTTTCCGATCACACTGGTGATCACAGAATCTTGAAGTTCTCACTTTCCACCACTCCCTCCGGCTTCTGTTCATACCAGCTATTAGCTCTTTCCAATCCACATTTACCACAACATTGCCAGTGGATATACCGTGCCACGTTATCATGCCTTCCTTTATATTCTGTCTGCGCCAGCTTACCGCACTCACTCACCACATGGGCCACCGTTTCTCCCTTACTTCCGCACATTCTGCACAAAGTGGATTCCGCTGTGTGATCGATATGAAATCTCGTATAACTTGTTCTCAAAGCTTGTTCCTGGGCGCTGCACATCATGGCCTCAGTACATCCTTTCAAATCTCCTTTTGCAATCCACTCTCAGGTTCTATCCCAGTCAACACTCACATACTGCCCATGCGTTCTTTTCTGCTTCCATTCATTCTCCGTCTCCTTTACTTCATTCACTTCGTACTCATTTGGGTCCACAGCCTCTGAGATGTTGCGCATGACTACATTGCTATAATCTCCAACTTTCTTGAGTAATGCTTCTTCATTATTGTTCTCATACCAACTCAAGTTGTTCTCTTCTCTCCTCACGCAGCTCTCACAACTGGTCAGGCCCTTTCCTCCCTTCTTTTTGGGTACGTATATTCTGGTAACATCACTTCTAGGGGTGTCGCTCCTTATTCATTGTCATGATTTTTCTAGACCTCCTACCTACTTCCTGAAGTTCCTCCTTATTCTATTTAATTGTTCCTGTTGGTACCTCATGTTCGTACCTTGACACAGCCCAAGTGTTTGCTGCTTTGATCTTGTTCTTACCATTGAGCTGAGATTTCATGACAAGTTTGAACCGCCATAAGTGCTCCGTTCGAAATGTCTTTCTTTTCCCTCACCTTAAACTTGTCCAACTCTAGAATGCCTAGATACTTGTAACCTTCGTCATCAACTTCCTTTATCGCCTGTCCATTTATCAACTTAATACCCTCATTTTAAAACAACTTCCCTAGGGCGTTTCAGCTCCACAACACCACATTTCTTTATCCCAAATCCCATTCCTTTGTCTTGCCTAATCAACTGTACTGTCGATACAAGGCTTTCAATCTCTGCTTTACCCTTGCCATAGACCTTCAAGTCATCCATAAAGGACAAATGATATATTTTGACGTCTCTTAAGGTATATCCAGCTTTGGCACCTTGTAGGATCTTGGCCAAGGGTACCATGCAAACAGCGAAGATAAGGAGTGACAGGCTGTCTCCTTGAAAGATACCCCGTCTAATATCAACTAAATCAAGTGTCTCTCCAGAAGATACCAGTTCTGTCTTCCACTTTACCATGGATTTCTGCAGAAAAGTCATTATATTTTCCGTTACCTGTGCGATTTTAGGCTTGGATAATCCAAGAGTAAGGAACCATATCTATGCTTTCTTATAGTCCACCCACGCCATAGCCAAGTTCTTGAGCTTTCTTTTGCAATCAGCAAGGACCACCTTATCAATCAACAACTGATCTTTTATGCCTCTGCTCTTTCTCCTACATCCCTTCTGTTCTTCTACGGGCAAAGCATCGTTTTCTACAAAGAATTCATACACACTATCAGCTATGATCCCTGTTATCAGTTTCCAAATAAGTGGTAGACAGGATATGGGTCGCGATAGTTATCAACAGCACTACCTCTTTCTTGGTCTTTCTGACACAGCATAGTCCTTCCAGTTGTCATCATCCATACAGGTATGGTGACCCTGTTATTTATCAAATCATTCATGTGGTCCGCCATTCGTTCATGTAATGCTGTCAATTTTGTTGATCCAGTAGCCTTGGACGCCATCAGGGCCAGGTGCCTTCCAATGGAGGATCTTCTTCGGCCTTGCTGTCACCATTTCAGCTGTTATTACAATGTCCGGCTGTCTAGCTTCTACTCTTTCCTTTTTATTGTTGTTGTTATTATTATTATTATTATTATTATTATTATGATTATTATTATGTCATTTAACTGTTGGAGCCCTCAAGAAATGATATCGTGTTGAGTTATTTACGTGTTTTAATCCCATGTATATATAGTAACGAAAAGGAGACAGTAGGTACTCCAGGAGTACCAAGACACTGCTGATTTTCCAACATGCTTAATATGTTCCATTAATTACTTTTTTCTTTTCATCCATGTAGGTCCCCAAGGCCCTCCAGGAACACCAGGTCCCCGCGGACCAAGAGGATTACCAGGTCCCCGCGGAAAATCAGGAGGACCAGGCCCTCGTGGTCGTCGAGGACGTCCTGGTAAACCTGGAAAAGACGGATCTCCCGGCGCACAGGGTCCACGAGGGAACCCTGGGAAAAGTCTCGGTGTAAATACCTCGGATATTGAAAGCCTCATCGAGACATTGAAGAATTACAATCAAGCAGAGGTAGCGATGTTTGGTGAGTAGGAACGTGATCAAGGTGTTGGAAAAAGTCTTTACAAATCATATGCTGTATTGCTTCTACTTTCAAGAATATACTTATGAAAATCTTGTTATATCTTATATGTGATTGCCTCACGTACAGCCCCTCCTCGATTCACAAACAAACCGCCACCACTCATCTTCATCAAGGAGGGCGGAAATCTGTCAGTAACTATCTCCGTGTCCGGCTATCCAACACCTAAGGTCACGTGGTCTATGCAGGGTAAAAACCGTGGAAACCAAACGCGATTCAAGACTACCCTTGACAAGTTTGATATAGACGATGTTCGCTTCGAAGATGAGGGAGTGATCACGTGTCGCGCTGAAAATGTGTTTGGTGTTCAAGAGACTAAAGTAGAACTTACTGTTTTAGGTGAGTGCGCTGGTAATTTAGCTTTAAACCCTTGTAATGATCATGATCATTGGGGCTATATGTATACGTGAACTAAGCAGTTGACACAGAAAAAAAAACACTGTCCTAAAAAAAGTCAGGAATGAAAGGGATTCAAAACTTGAATGACCTCCGCGGTGTCAGTGCAGTTGCTCTTACCAGTGCAAAAGCTGCTGTTTGACATGCATTTGTCGAGGATGAAAATATCGAGGAAAGTACATGAATTTCTTTCAACAGTTATTTAAAAAATCTTTTTCGGAAAGAAAGTAGTTTCAAATCCCTCTATTCACTATTTTCACATTGTCCATCATAAAATTGGTTACCCCTTCAAGATTTCCCTCAAGTATTGTTTTTAATCATTTCTCTTTGGATGACATTGACTGTTATCCCCACGGCAAGAGAAAGTATTAAAAAATATATATTCACAAAGTGATAACTTGTTTAATAAATCAGAATATGATCAGGAGCATTTTCAAGTAGCGTTTCCAAGAGCTTGCCGGTCCGGAAAAGATCACGTGATGACAACAAACAGGATAAATTCGAAAACATATAGAAATCTTGAAAGCATTAGTCGTCATCAGTAGTTTTTTGGTTGTAATATTGACATCTTATTTCTTTATTTTGGCCTAAAGGTGCCCCAAGATTCCCCGAGTCCCCCCCAGGGCAAGTGACTGGCTTTCTAGGTAAAGAGACAAGGTTGCCCTGCGACCTTCTTGGAAATCCTACACCTGAGGTTAAATGGACCAGATCTCCCCAAGCACCGCTTCCTCAGGGACGGAGTGAAGTGAGAAAAGACGGCCTTTATATCAACAACACCAAAAATGAGGACGGAGGCGTCTACACTTGTTTTGCGACTAATGGATATGGTATGGTCATTCACGGAATATTCCTCAAAGTCAAAGCAGTTGGTAAGTGAGATCAAAGTTATCGTCAACCCAACTAGCGTCGCTTTTGTAGGATATATATCAATTTTGACCTTATAAATATTATTAGTCTCCTTTTTTATTTGAAACGAAGTACTACAATAACCTTATATGCAAAAAAGACGCGATTTGAAGGAAATTCGAAATTTTTTACTAACTTTTTAAGTTTGTCTTTTGGTTTGTTCTATGTAATTTATACCCTTTCCGCTGATCAAGATAACCGAGGCGTTCAATAGTGAGGCGTATCCTGACGTCATGTGCATGTTATATGTAGAACAAGGAACTCGCATTACCTTACCTCAGTGTGTTGTATATTATAAACGAAGGAAACAGTGAGTGTTTTTTCGCCGCTTCTCGTATCTTTGTCCCAACGTCGCCGCTTAAAGAAAGTCTTTGTGAAAAGAATGTCAGCAGTAAGGTAGTTGAAGCTGTAGATAACATTAAACCATTCCAGACGATTCGCTCGAGCCTTATGGCCTGGAGGATGTTCGCGGTATGCGTTCAATATCAGAGTTCTTCTGCACTTCATGGGTACGCATTCGATTGTTTCTTACAAAGCCCTTCAGAGAAATTCATGTTGACGACACGTGAAAACGGCAATTATATTTACTATAGTTAAAACGTGAAGAACACAAACTTTCGTCACACAAATAAGTTTCGTTTTACAGGGATTGAGATTATGTTTCGGATTTTTTGTTTGAGCCTTGGCTCTAGAGGTCTGCCTTGTCCACTTAATTTCGAGGATGAAATAAACCACATCAATAACGTTGTGCTGGGGATAAGAAAAGAAAGTTACATTTATGATAAAGAATTAATTGTAAGTTACGCCGACTCCAACATCAGTATTTTTGTATGAAACTTCTACTTAGGACAACCTGTATTTACCTCTACACCTCCCGTTACGGTCGATGTATCTGCTATCAGAGCATTGGTCCGAGTAAACTGTTCGGCAACTGGGTTGCCTCTACCTAAAATCACGTGGTACAAGAACAACGTCAGCATACCCGTTTTTAATAACGTCACCAGAGATGAAGTTACGAGCGAGCTTGTGATTGGTCAGTTCCAACCCTCAGACCAGGCTACGTATAAGTGTGTTGCTCGTAACATGTATAACGATGAGGTAAACGCTACGACAAACGTAGGTAAGGAGTCTGCCATTTAAGTCTTCTCATGTACTGCGGTACTTAATTATACGTCCTGAAGTTTATTATTAACTGTCCTCGGCTATAAGTTTATATGTTATAGGTACAGCGAGTTTTCTACACACGTGGCCATCGTTCATGCCAATTTATCAGAACAAAGAAAAATATTTGCATTTTAAAATCAGCTGGGTTTATAACCACAGAGTAATTTGTGTCAGTATTTTTGTATGGGCAAACAGACGATCTGGGAACTGGTATTTACATGAAGATGTCGATTTGCTTGGAAAGGGGTCATCGTGTTTTATCTGAAAAAGTTTCAAAGGTTTTAAGATTTAAGGTTTTAAGGAAACAGACGGTAATGTTCTCTTATATTTTTATAAGAGGTCTGTTCCAGGCGTTCAGCGAATTCTAGTGGCAAATGCAGGAATTTAAAAAAGCACGAGAGTGTAGGGCGGAAGGTATTTGGACAAGAACCGCAAACAGACTCTCTCGCTACCCCTCAATTTTTGATGTTGTTGCTGCTGTTGGTTAGTGTTCCAACTCGTGCCGTGTCACATATTTTTCTGGAAGCCTGGAAAAGACAACTTAATTTTTAACCTATAAAAAATGCAAAGTTTTTTTAGAGCGGATCTTGACTGCAACATTCTTGTTTTATTGTTGTTGTTATTGTTATTGTTTGTTTGTTTGTTTTTTACTTATTCTTCAGCTTCTTTTTTGTTTGTTTGTTCATTTTATTTTATTTTTTTTTTTTGCAGTTTTACGTGACTGCGGTGACCCAGGTGAACTAGACAATGCAGTTCGCGTTATCAGCCAAAGCAAGAATCACTGGGCAGGAGAATATGTCAGGTACCTCTGTAATCCGGGATATACTATGGTTGGCCCTGCCGTCAGGAGATGCTTGCCCAGCGGTGGATGGAGTGGATATACACCAATATGTAAGAGTTTCGGATATTTCTGTGTATGTAAGTGTATGTAATGTGTGTAGTGTGTGTAGTGTGTGTAGTGTGTGTAGTGACATGCCTATCATCAGTGAGGGTAAAGTAATATATACAGTATGGAATGGTCACTAGGGCTAACTACATGTAACTTGTAGCTCCTACCGTAAATTTGATCGAGATCAATTCAACACTGGAGACAAATTTGCTCCTGGATATAAGTGGCAAATATAATTTGTGAAAACTATTAAGAAGTAGATCTGGCGCAAAGATGGTAAATGCCACATTTGCCTGGTTATTTACAGCCCTGTGGCATTTACTATCTTTGCCCCAGATTTACTTCTCAGCTTTAATTTACATTTTTGCGACATATAATTTGAGGGTCTCAATGGACCGAGTTAACCGTAAGCCGTCAAACGGCTTTAAAATTTGACCAAATAAATGGGGGGTCCTGCTTAGCGTTTGTGTGTGTTAAAAGTGGGAAGGTGGAATAAGTTAAACGCTGATAATTGCAAATAAAACTCCAACGTTTTGGCAATGCTGCCTTCATCAGGGAACACTACTAAACGTATATTCTCTGTATAATTCATATTGTAATTGAATTAGCTTAATACATACTATAATTTTTATTTTGCGACAGCTGGTACTGTTTGTAAAATATTTCTTTTTTCCTTTCCTTTCTTTAAATTTGTGTGTCTCTTACCCCACCTCGATTAGGCTCTCCTATACGCGGGTGGAAGCTATCGTGAAATTGTAAATTGAGACTGAATGAATAAAGTTGAAGTATGTACATGTGATTTCGTGATAGCGGAACATTTTAAAAGTTGAAACGTCGGAGTTTTATTTGCAATTATCAGCGTTTAACTTACCACCTTCCCATTTTTAAAATTTGACCGTCAACCGTAAAGAAAGACATTTCTTTACCGTAAACCGTCAAAAATGCAGCAGAGCAATACTAACCGTCAAAACCCTCACAATACCTTTGGTTACAACTTGCTTTTATCTGAAAATATTTCGAAATTTTATCTGTGAAAGGCCAAGGCAGCCTTAAAAACACAACAGTTAATATGTAATACGCCAGCAGCTCTGAGGAAACATTGACAGGTGAGTTTGCCATGGTCTTAACTGTAGTCAAGTTTCGTCCTCGTTCGCTGCGCACTTCGCGGTACGCCTTCCGCTCCCTGTTGCACCCTACCATTACTTCTGGCCGTCCAAATGGTAAATGTATAGTCTCAGTCGTCGACAAACAAACAGAGGCGCAGCCGGTGTGGTTTTTTAAATCAGGTAGCGTAAAAATTCAAGCCAATTTTTTTTGGAATTGGTATTGTTTATTTGAAAATTGATTTTTGTAATATTAAATGTAAAAAACGCTTAAGTGATTGTACACGCACGTTACTGTTTGTCTTATCCATCCTAAGAGTGTCCAGGAATGCTATTGAATTGCAAACAGTGTCCTAAATATGTTAATGAATAGTGTTTATCCGGGTTTCCTTTTCTTTTTGTTGAAAAACATTTCTTCGGATAATTTTCTCTGTTATTTTTAAGAGCATCCAATCATCAACGTGTTGACAAAATGAATTAAACTGACTTTTTAGGCTTTCACATCTGAATTCAAATTTCGCATCAACCCTGGGTTATCTTAACCGGCCAGCTTTGAACAACCCGGCCCAAGTATTGTTAAAAGGACACAGTCAGCTATGGGACCGCGTTGACCTGGACACTACTTTTGTCAGTTTGAAAAGCGTTTACCTCAACCCGGAATCAAATGTACGCGTTGGGTACATCTAGAAATCTGCTTCAATCTTGCATAGTGTTTCATTCGAACCTCGATCTTTTACAGAAAACCTCTTTTTGAGCAAACTTTTACTGATCCTATGACATTATTTTATCATATTTGGTTAAAGACAGTATCCAAAGGAACACGAACCGAAGAGATGAGAAACGCGTAGGCTCCGGGCGTAGGCTCCGGGCGGGAGAAATCGTTTCCCAAAATAACAAAAGAAATGAATCAATGACATTGGAGAGCAAATAATCGTCATATATATTTAGAAAATCGATGGAAAAGGTTACATATGTTTGGAAAATCAAGCTTTCTCGACCTTGAACCTTCGGCAATGATTCATGCAGGCTCCGTGTCATTTCTATTTTTCCGGCAGGACTTTTCCGCAGGTGGCGGGTGGCGGGTGGCGGGTGGCGGGTTAAAAATATAAATGAAATAAAATATTATAACTCGTTATGGTGTAATTGATACTGATACAACCGTATGTTATAATTTTAAAGCATTTTCAACGTTTATGTACTAGCTACCAGACTCCATATAAAAGTATTGTCTTGTCTTGTCTTATCTACTTACGCGGACTATTTTTATTTTCTCAAATATGGAAAAAAAACGAGAAATCGTGCCTGTGAAAACAGTCACTTCTCCTAGCTCTGGACCGCAAGTGACGTTTCGCCAGGCTACACGGGGTGTGTCAAATGAAAATGGGCTATGTCAAGCAAGACATATGGCACGTGTCGAAGCGAATTTTTTGGTACATGCATCTCTACAATGCCTTGTTAAGTAAGCGGGCGTGTGGTAAGAAAGACGTCCGACTTCTTAGCTAGGTATAAGCTTCTTCAATAAAGGGTGTGAAAGATAAATAACTGTGAGAAAGAGACTACATTGACTGTATATAAAACAACGTGGCAGGTCTATTATAATTATGGGGAGGGAGGGAGGGAGGCAGGGGTACGGAGTACGGTGTTAGTGGCAGGGGGTGACGCGTAAAGAAGGGTTTTTATGAGGGATAGGGTTGAGAAGTAGGCCTTCCGTGTCGTAGCTCAGTTTTTGCCCTAGTATGCGAAATGATTGCCATCCTATTCAGTATTTTTACGTAGTATTTAAAAAATGCAGATCCTTTTTGTATATATATACAACGAGATCAATTCGCGTCCGAGGTGCCACATGCGGCGAAAACGGTCCATGCTGTGTCAAAACCGTTGTTGCTCCTTCTCTGGTAGCATTAACATTGACAGCTTTGTTGTTTTAGTCTCAGGAAAATTTCCTTGTTTTCTCGAAATAGACATTTTGTTCATTTTAAAATACAAGTCGGGAACCAAATTGGCAAAGATTTATTCCACGGGCAATGCAATGTTTATCCCAACTTATAACAAAAGAACAAACGCACTTGACAAAAATCTGAGACACTGTTCAAACATGTCGAGAAGAGAATGCGATCTTACTTGTCTGGTCTCAGTTCACGTGTAGAAGAATATTGCTAAAATATCACTTTTTGTAATGTTTATCATCTTTTTTCTTTTTTTGGTTTCCACTTTTTATTTTTATTTATTTTTTATTTTTGACGGCCTGACAATTTGTCACCCGTCACCCGCCACCCGACACCCACGGAAAAGTCCTACCCCTATTTCTCACGTCTACTGACGATCGAATTCGGAAGCATTCGTCGATGTTTGGCTTTCCCTGGACAAATCCATCGGTGAATTCCCAATAGTATATAAAAAATGAGTGCTCTGATTTGGCATAGGGTCTATAATCACGATTTCGGTTTGAAACTAGTTCAACTCTACAGGTTTTGTGTAGGTATCCCGAATGCGCTTCTCACTTTCTGTTTCACGCGTGTGTCTCGTGATATGCAAATCAGCTAAGAAATGGTATGAAATGCGCATGTGGATCAGCTGACTGTTTAAAAAGCAAACAGTTGACAACGTCTTAGATGTAATCATTACTTTTATTTATTGGGAATTCCACATGTAGAAAATTACTGTAATTTACTAGAAAATGAAACCGTTACTGGGAGGTCTTCTTAACTCGTGTTGGTGTTAAAGACCATTTTAGACCACAGTTTTTGTGGTGAACGTCGGGGGACAATGAATTGTGTTTGAACACTGGTTCACTTACACTACACCTCTCAATTTTACACATTTTAAGGGAATCATCAAAGCCTTCACTGGAATGTGTGTGCGGCTCACGTCAATAACTTTTCCAGTAATTTGGTCGAGTGCCGTTGATTTTAGTGACTTGAACGGCGCTAATGTGAGCTGGTTTATAGGTTTTCCGAGTAAATAACATACAGCTAAAATGTTCGTTTGTCAAGTCATGATGAAATGGCGCCGCCGAGCCTCACATCTCGGTAGATTTACTTTGTGGATCCAACGGCCGCCGACCTACACAATTTGGTAGATTTACTTTGTGGCACAACGGACGCCGAGCTACACAACTCAGTAAATTTACTTTGCCCCACTTACGTCTGCTGATTTGAGAGGGAAAAAAAACGTAGACTAATCACAGCAACTTCCAGATCTGGGAAGTGCACTTTGGACCTTGAGTAATTTCGCGCTTGACTTAGCTTTTGAAAAGATCAGAAAGGTCTCATGAAAGGTGAAGACCTTAAAGTTTTAAAACGAACTACTCAGTTAACTCACAAGCGTTTGTACTAGAGGTTACCCTCACAATCTCATTGGAAAAAATTACCTCGATCGGAGGTTAAATTTTCTGAACAGAAGTCCGCTTTACTACAAAACAATAAAGAGTGAAAAAAATTTTGCCTTTTGTTCAGTTACAAGGTAACCCCGCAGTTGCATCACCCAAAGAACAACTTTATGAGCAAATGACATCTAATCCAGCCTTTAAAGAGAGAAATATATAGAAAGCCAACGCTTATCTCCTAGATTCTCGTCCGGAGGAAAAATCTTTGGTCAAGTATCACCCTCTACCGAGCTTGTACGTCAGTGTGTTTGTCTTGTCAACAATTTGACTTCAACAGCGCCGATAATCTGACAATCTGCCGATAATCTACATGTGACCTCCAGCTAATACCTGCGAATAATGGGTGCGGAAAGGAATTTATCTTTCGGTTCAGCAGACCTTAGTGGGGCAGGAGAGCGTGACGAAACCCTAAGAACGTCAGCGTGGAAGGCTACTCAAAGCGAGGCAAATGTGTGTCGACACGAATGCAATCTCAAAAAACCTCGCTTATCAATTGCACAGAACACCCAACAGAAAATTAGGGGTTGCGTTCTCGTACCTCGAACGCAATAATAATAATAATAATAATAATAATAATAATAATGCTGCAGCATATCTCCATTGGAGCATATGTAAAGATCATGATATAGAGATTACAGACAAATGGTACGAACACGAACCAGAGACCGTGATACACAATGAAGATAACAACATCACCATCATGTGGGACATGCCAGTCAATACTGATAGAACTATAACAGCGAACAGACCAGATATCATCGTTAAAGATTCAGTGAATTCCACCTGCAAACTTATTGATGTGACTGTTCCATCAGAGAGAAACATCGCACTGAAGGAAACTGCAAAAAAATGTACAAAGACCTAGAACTAGAAATACAGAGAATGTGGCATATCAAAACCGTAGTGATCCGTGTGGTTGTTGGTGCGCTTGGTACAGTGAAGAAGGGTATGGTAGAAAACATCAAGAAAGTATCAGAGAGAGCTACTATGACAGAGAATCAAAAGATCTGCATGCTGGGATCTGCACGAATCCGCAGAAGGGTGCTCAGTGTATGAACAGAATGATTGACTTGAGTGACTGACGTTCTAGTTGCATGGTTTGCGCCCAGCTGATGCACAAAAAGAACACCAGCAAAGACTGTGATAATAAGAGACAATAATAATAATAACTAGTAATAGTTGACACTACAGCTGCCCCCGCTCTGTATATAGTATTCTTGCTCCTTGTGTAGCTCTTTGAAATATACCGATTCATAATGAAGATGTTCACACATATTCCATACAATAGGTGAGATAAATACAGGAAATAAACGCAAGATTCCATGCACAGACAGGGTTCGATTTACACAGCTTTGATCAAAACACTCTCAGTTTCGACAACAGTTTATTCTAAACCATAAGAAAAGAATAAGAAGTCTAATTTTTCGCCATTTCTATTCCTTTTTTTACATTTAGTTCATTTCATTTGCCGGAAAGTAAGCCTAAGAAATTAAAAGGACGTTTGATCGATTCACGCTCGCGCATTCTAGTCTTATTCTAAACTTTATAGCGGAAGGACATCTGTGAGGAAGGAATAAGTCAGCACAGAATTTGATGGTCGGCGAATTCTGTAATCGTCCATCGTTCTGCTAGTGATAAGCTAGCCGTTGAATCATTCACTCGTCTTGCCTGGTTTGTGCCGAGTCTTATTCCGGTCAAAGAGAGAGAAAGAATGTTTAGCAAGGTTCAGCTGAAGGTTTCCAATCAAAGATTTGTGGACTCGTGTCTTTCAAACTCACTTAGTGTTAAAATATACACTGTTCTACGCACCTTATAACTTCATCTGCGCTTAACGAGTATCTTTTGGTCCATAACTTTCATAACAACTGCTCCACAGAATGTCACTGATAACACGTAACGCAAAAGAGTATCGAAGTATGACTGCACAATTAATGTCACAAAATCTACCTATTGAAAGCTGTTCCTTCGGGATTTTCTGTCTTTACGTCATCCTAACCACTTCGTACTTGCGGGCGCAAACAATAGACACGTCATCATTACCTACAGATTCCTCGCGGCCCCTGTTCAAGCAAATCGAGATTTTTTCTATATTGACTGTACGACTGCATATTTCAACTGTAAGTACTTTCCTTAATATACGCGCGAGTTACTAGAGTGCCTCCTCCTCGTGATTTAGCCTTCTGGGCGAAATCCCTGCGGGGGAAATAATGATAATAATGATAACAACAATTGTAGTAAACACTCAAATACAGTTTCGAATTCGTCTTTTTACTTTACTATTCACTACAACAAAATTACAGCAGAAGAAAAGACATCGGTCTTAACCCTCGAGCGCAGACGCAGTCATGCCCCCACTATGGTGCAAGGAGGGGGTTTTGATGGACCCACTTGATTTCTTTTATGTTTTGCAATATTTCGAAACTATTTTGCCTTCAGTGGAAAGCCTTTGATCTTCTCTACAGTCTGTGACGTGACCAAACATGGTCGCCATCTTGGCTGCCATCTTGGATTTTATCAAGAATTACAAATCAGGCACAGACAGTGAGAATTAATAATTTTTTGCGCTTAACATGTAAAATAACACATAATTAATTCTTTTGCATCATTTCACAAGCTTTACTTTTATTCCTGAAAGACGTTGAAAAAAAAAAACATGCATTTTCACTCAAAAATGGCTTGACAACCTGCTTCTAATGACGTCATACATCGTAACCATTGTAACTGCCCATCACTAAACTTGTCTCGAAATGCGCGCGAGGGATAAATGAACAGCTACAAAGGTGCTGATGTTTTATCGTCTAGGAAAACAAAAAGAAAAACCTTAGAGGGGGTGGTTGCCCCCCTTGTACGTCCGAGGTTGATAATAAAAGTATTTGAAAGTAATTGCAGCATAATAGATTTGGCCAAGGCTAAAACAAAGCGTCCAATTTTAGGCTTTTAATTAATCAAAATGAATAAGGTTCAACCTGTACAAATCCAGAAATTAATAGCGGAGCTCCACGTGCGGGCGGAGCCCCATAGCTAAGGAAATGTGACAATCTACCCAACCGAGAAAATTTGGTAATCACGTGACCGTACACCGACCGACCGACTGCCCGACCGTCCGTCCGCACCACAGGCATACCAACAACAACATAAGCTTTATTTGCATGACTATAATTATGTAGCTACAATATTGCAAAAGCTTTAACATAAAGTTACAATTTATAACAATGATAATGCAAGTGCAATGATTACTACAGTCAATCAAGTGTCATCAGCATGATACCAACGTAAAATAACTCAATCAACAGGTGCAACTCAAGGTTTTATTTGAAAGGAAATCACGTGGCCGCCCGGACTTTTAGGGAGAAACAACAACAACAAAATCGTGTGTCTTTTTCGGCGTTATTTTTTATGTTTACACTAAAGTGGTTAACAGAGAAAGAGCTAGAGCGAGTTATCGAAAACAAAGGAGACGAACATGGAAATTCAAAGCGGCGGTGAGAAAATGAGAAATGCTAGCGGCCAGCAAGGTGAAAATGGGCGGCAGTGAAAAATAAAAGCGAACATGAACACAGGAAACAAAATATTGGGTAAGCATATATACGACAATTCTTCCATAAAAATACTGTGTAGCTAGGAAGTTTGACGTTTTAGTCGCTCAAAACAGCGTTGTAGTCGTGCAAAACAACAGCAAGGGAAAGACAAAAAAGCGTGCTGCACGTGCAAATTTGTCTTTGCTAATCAGAAGAAAAAGTGTGCTGCACGTGCAATTTGTGTTTTTGCAAATTAGATCTATTAGTCTTGAAGCCATTTTCATTGTCGTCCCCGTTTAGCATTACACGATTTAATTTGTTTTTTGTTTACACGTATTATTAACCAGAGCTTCGCTTTTAGCCCTGGCTAAATATGTATATTACTTAACTGATTTTAAAACAAAAAGAGAAAATTATGACTCAAATTCGATCACAGTAATAGGGAAAAGAATTCTTACCCATAGGTGTGCATCATTACCATGTAACGTTTCAAGGTGGGGAAACCCGCCTAGCCGGGGTCAAATTCGTGATACGTCAAATTCGCGCCGGTGGCTATGTATCATTATTAAAAGTAACGATAGAAAGCCAGAGCACTGAAGGTTGCAGCAAGAGCAGCAAGTGAGTGTAGAAGAGATTTAATCGCCCAAACACATGATTTGCCTGCATTATTCTTGTTTACGTGCTTAGCGACCATTCAATGATCTTGAGAAAGTTCACCTCGTGATGGCGGGTTTGTAAGATTAATCGACTGAACTAATCGTAACTGTTGGATCTGTGTATTAAAATCCTTGTGATTTAGACCCCATTCCTGGTTGTATCATGAAGGATAGCTTTATTATTGTTAGTTCAGTGATAGCTAAGATTGTCAACCTTTCAATGGAGTCTGGATTACTTCTGATCTCAGCGTGGCTAGTGTCAAACCCTGCTCAAGAAGCAATCTTTGTGCTCGGATGATTTCAAGAATCTTAGGCCAATTTCGAACTTGAGTTTTCTGTCTAAAGTGGTCGAGAAATGTGCTGCCAAGCAGCTCATTGATTATTTAGATGCCAATGGTCTCAACGTCTCAACAATCAGCGTACAGGAAACTTCACGGCACTGAGAGGGCCTTAATCCGTATCCATAATGATATCGCAACTGCCTTAGATCAGAAAAGATCAGTGATCTTGCTGCTCCTTGATCTTTCCGCGGCATTTGGTACTGTGGATCACTGTATCTTACTTTCACGCCTTTCTCGTCGATTTGGAATTGGTGGTACGGCATTGGAATGGTTTCGATCGTATTTGGGTGATCGCACTCAGTTCGTAAATATCAATGGATCTATCTCCAAGCGTCGTGTTTTACAGTTCGGTGAACCCGAAGGGTCGGTTCTTGGCCCTCTTTTATACTCATTGTACACCTCTCCGCTAAGTGATATCGCCAGTGAGCATGAACGAAGTTTCACTTTTATGCGGATGACACGCAGCTTTATGCAACGTTCGAGACGTCATCCCTTAATGATATGGAATTATGCAAGGTAGGTTGGAAGTCTGTATACTAAAAAAGTCACCTGGATGCTTCTGAATAAGCTAAAACTAGGAGTAATCGGAGCTTAGGAGAGTGCGTTCGATATGTTTGTTGAGGCGGAAGGGTGGTTGCGATGTAGATAAATATGATTATGGCATATTTTGAACGTAAGGGTTGCGTACAGCGAAACCTCTATTTAAACTGTGTATCATTTTAAGAACGTTTTCAAAGGATATCGCATGGTTCGGTGTCAAGTGCTTTTAATCGGAGGAGACATTGGCCAGCGTCGGACGTGTAAATGGAACATTTTGTTTTACTGCACCGTAATTTTTAGGGAGTTATTATAACTCCAAAAATGGAGTAAAAATTTTAGGTACAGGATAACCCCTTTTTTGGGGTTATTTTAACTCCTAATTTAACTCCGAATTTGGGGTCATTTTTACTCCTGAAAAAGAGTTCTTTTTACTCCCAGTCTTGGAGTTAAAATTACTCCGAAATGGGGTTACTTGTACTCCTTACAGGGGTTGTTTTTACTCTTTTTGGAGTTAATTTAACTCTGAAAGTGGAGTAAAAATTTTAGGTACAGGATAACTCCTTTTTTGGGGTTATTTTAACTCCTCAATATCTGGGGTCACTTTTACTCCTGAAAAAGAGTTCTTTAAACTCCTTTTTGGAGTTAAAACAACTCCACGAAAAATAACTCCACTGTAAGGAGTTAAATTAGCCCCACTAGAGGAGTTATTATAACTCCCTGAAAATTACAGTGTGGCGCGAGTTACAGGGCGCAGTTTCTCAAAGCCGATTAGTTCTTAACCCGGGATTCTTTTTCTTTCTTCAAAAACATTTCTTTGGATAATTTTCTCTGTTATTTTTAACAGCATCCAATCATCAACTTGTTGACAAAATGAATTACATTGAATTTACTGGTTTAAAAGCTTTCACATCTGAATTCAAACTTCCCACCAACCCTATCAAAGCCTTCAATGGAACCTGTGTGCGGCTCACGTCAATAACTTTTACAGCAATTTGGTCGAGCGTGTTGATTTCAGTGATTCGAGAGTGGCGCTACTCTGGGCTGATTTATAAGTTTTTCATAATAAATAACATAGAGTTAAAGTGTTCGTTTGTCCGGTGCCGAAAATATCACAAGTCATGGTCAAATGGCGCCGCCGAGCTTCACATCTCGGTAGATTTACTTTGTGGCACAACGGCTGCCGAGCTACACAACTCGTAAATTTACTTTGTGACAAAACGGCCGCCGAGCTACACAACTCGGTAAATTTACTTTGTGGCATAACGGCAGCCGAACTAAGCCCGGTTTGATGCATGCATCATGCCAGTAGTCGCAGACATTTTCCAAAGACAGTGACGAACCATGCCGAAAAATATGAACGCTTAATCCAAAGTAAAATTTAACAGCAAACTCCTGAAAGATGAACGCTTTGGACGATTCAGCAATCACAGATCGATGTACGCTTTACGAAGATTCAGCAAACTTTTTAAAAGATGAACGCTTTACGAAGAATATCAGACCTTAGCAAACCTTTGAAAGATGAACGCCGAGGACACAAGAATCACCACATGAGTTAGCGCGTAAAAGTGAGTCAAATGTGTGTCGACGACGACGACGAACGAAAATGAAATCTCAAAAAAACCTCCCTTATTAATTGCACAGGTCCCCAATAATGCACAGAACACCCAACACAAATTAGGGGTTGCGTTCTCGTACCTTGAACGCAATTAAATAAAGACAAAACTGAACTTCTTGTGATATCATCTTTACACCGTGCTCGACCTCCTTTGTCACATATTAATGTTTGTGATGAGAGAATGCTGGCTTCCCCAAGAGCGGGTAACATTGGAGTTCTCTTCGACGAATCTTTGAGTATGGTTCCTCAGGTGACAGCAATGTGGAAATCGGCATTCTATCATATCCGTAAAATTAGGCTCATTCGTAAACACGTCACCTTTGATGCAGCCCAGCTTCTTGTTCAAGCTCTTGTTACATCAAAGCTCGACTATTGTAATTCGTTAATAAATGGTTTACCTAAGAACGTAATTAAACAGCTCCAACGTGTGCACAAGAATGCAGCTGTTCGTGTTGTTACTCTTTAGCCCAAGTTCTGTCATATTACACCTGTTCTTACGAATCTCCACTGGCTCCCGATTGATCTTCGTTTTGAATTTAAAATAATTACTGTTACTTTCAAGACTCTCCATGGATTTGCTCGTGCTTATATTAAAGATCTTCTTCAAAGCTACCACCCAGCACTGGATCTTTGGTCTTCAATGAAAAATCTTCTAGCCGTGCCTGCCTTTAACATAAAGAGTTATGGCCGTCGTGCTTTTTCTGTTGCTGCGCCGCTTCTTTGGAACAGTCTTCCTCAGCATAAAAGCTATAGGGATGCTGGATCACTGGACATTTTTAAAAGACGGTTGAAAACTGTTGTTTTTAGACGCTCTTTTTTTTAATTGATGACTTGACTGTGGTGTTTTTATATCTTAAATTATTTTATTTTTAGTTTTTGTAGTTTTTAATTGTGGTTTTTAAATTTTAACTTTTACCGTAGTTTTAAATTTTTTAAACTTGTAATATATGAATAGCGCCTTTGGACCCTGGGAAAGGGCACTTTATAAATGTCTCATTATTATTATTATTATTTTAGGTCTAGATTTTTGATAGTTCTTTTTTCCTAGTACAATGCTTAATATTCCTTTTCCCACTTTTAAATTATTCACAATTGTAAATAATTTTCTATCGTAGACATATATTTAGGTTTTAATTTGTAAACAATACGATATAGTTTGAAACTGTAAATGTTTCTTATTGTTCTGATACTTAAATAAGGATGAGTGTTTATTATTATTATTATTATTATTATTATTGTATTAAGATTGCGTGTAAAGGAGGGTTACTTTTTTAGCCCACCTAAGCGGGTTACCTCACCTACCTGGGGTCCCCCAACTCCATGTAAACAGGCCCTAAGTGTAAACTATCCTTCAGATTATGCACCACAATATCTGATACTCAGTAACCTATACTCTAAGTTGAGCTTATACTTTTTGTTTCCGAAAAGACCCGAGAAGGTTTATAAAGTAATTTGACATTTCCCTCTATGAATAACCAATCATAATTTTTTAGTCTACACAAACTGCATGCCCTAATGCGGCTAAATGTGCCCAAGACGTAAACTACAGCAAAGTCACGAGTCTGTCGTGTCATTAACATATTCGAAAAATCTTATACGTTCTTTCTTTTCGGAGAGAATGAACACTGAACATAGGCGCAAATCACACGCCATGTTTGAACCATTTTCAGACATTTCATTCACGCTTCATTCAGACAGTCCGCGAAACGAATAAAAAGCTACATTAAAGCTTGCAAAATTATGACTTCTTACAATCAAACCATGAATGAAACTTCAATGAAAGATGTACAACAACATGTATGTCTGAGAGTGGCTGAAATGTCTCCGTAAACTATCATATGGTTTCTTTGTATTCTGTGTTTGCATGGATGGTGTTTGTTTGTTCGTTTGTCTTTTAGCCGGCCTTCTGCTTTTAAAATAGATGAAAGAGCCTCGAAGCAAGATTTTTGCTAATTATCGTTACTTTTTTCTGGCAACCACTGCAAATGGGTATTCTCTAAAACCTTTCTCTGTCCATTTGCAACCAGAAAATTAATTTAAGCTTGTATATATTAGACGCGAGGCCATTGAAATCGTCAGTCTCTGTCTCAACTCTCTAATACTGCAAGTTATGATCATGACACGAAATGAATACGCCTGACTTGACAAAACTAAAACGAGACAAAAACGGTTAGTAGTAATTACTCAGGCTCACCTTGTCTTTAGCTCCTGAAAGCGATTAAGTGAGGTAAAAACGGGACTTTCCTGTACTCTGCTGTAAAATCATGCATGTTCAACTTTCACTTTCGTTGAAATCCGGCTGCGAAGCGTTTCTCAAGCCAAACTAAATAAACAAAACAGCTTCGAATAACAGAAGAATCTCTCTTGGTACCAGCTGTATTTCATTTTGTGGCGGCCGGTGGAAGAACATGAAGACCAAAACTTTGAAATGTTAAAAAGATTTTTCCCGTAGTCCGCCGTAAAATACACATGAACTATTACAAACGCAACCATCGGTAAATCTTTTTGCGACACACTTTGCTCGACGAAACCCAAATGTTAAACAATTCAGTTTTTTGAAAAACCGAAATAGAAACTCGACAGCAGTTGTATTCCATTTTGTGGCGGTAGGACATGAACACGATAATTTTAAAAGTTTTGACTGGAAATGGTAATTCTGTAAGTCTGTCGGCAAACAAATTTCTAGATGTTGCATAAGTTTTCATTCGTGAATCAACCTGTGAAAATTTTGTCCCAAGCAGGCAGTGTTCCTGGAGTGTTACCAAAAGCATGACCAGGCATAAAGCAATATATAATAGCTTTAGAAATTGATTTGCGAAGATGTTGTCGTAAGTCGGACACAAGAAACTTCAATCTAGATTTTTACTCGTTTTTACTCGTGCAAATCCGTTGTTGCCTCTAAAATGGTTAATTTTGCGCCAAACCGAAACGCAACGAACATGTCTGGGACTCCCTTCCCTACCCTACTGAGTTTTTTTTACCCCTACTCCCAGAGTCTGTACGGACGGTCGTTCGGACGTACGCTGAAGTCATAACCGAATTTTCTGGCATCGATAGGTTTCCATTTTCTATCCCTCCCCATGATGGCTATGGGGCTCCGCTATAACGTTTATTTCCTTTCATCCTTTTCTTTATTACATTTCAGTTCAATCTTTTCAATTTATGTTGATGAATTTTACGTTATTTTTCTTTAATTCACTTTATTTTATTTTAACTAACCCATTTCATTCCATTCCACTTCATTTTAGGTAACAAAACTGAGTGCGTTGAACACGTGGCAATAGATGATGATTCACGACATATTGGCTACTACGATTCCGACGACTACAAGTGTGACCACTATCTGACTGAAGGCTGGTACAGGTTTGTGACCCGAAGACGTATGAACACAAACTGTAACAGAGGCCAGTACTCGTGCAACACGTATTACGTTGGGTGGTTGAATGGAAACCATCCGTCCGTTGAGGAGGGGATTGTAACTCGGCAAGTGTGTTTTGGCTATAGTACCTGTAGTTGTAGCTATAGTATATATATTAAGGTACTCAACTGTGGATCCTTTTATGTCTACAGACTGAAACCTGCACCAACCTGTAATGCTCGTTATTGTACGGAATAAGTGTTATCCAAAGAAAGCCTATAATTAAGTACCTGAGTTACATAGTCAATTTTTAATTAATGGTATTTTTGAATAAAACGCAATGACGAAGAACATGTAGAAGTTTGAAGGATCACTATAGAATTATCAATAATTGAAGAAATTTAGTATAAACTCTGTAGGGCTGTCACTATGAAAGCATCGATTGCTTGCTCGGAAAATTATGTTTCTTTGCTACTAACTGTTTTTGCTGACTTGATCCAATAAAGCTGGTATTATTTATGAAGTATAGCCAACTGGTTCATTTAATTCTCATGATCAGACTTGGACTTGGACTAGTATCCATATGGGCTCCAGTTCACCAATCGCGCTCACGAGTCCGGACTTCGATTTCCCCGTTTCACTTACTTTATAGCCTGACTCTGGGCTTTAACTTCACTCGTCGCGACATGTACAATTTCTCTATATTTCATTTTGCTTCACTTCACTTTTCTCAACATCACTTATTATTTGCCGATATTTTTCTTGTACTTTTTACTTCCTTAAGTTTCTTTTCACTTTCTTCAATTTCTCATTTTAATTTTACTCGTCAAGACTTCAGTTCACTCTACCCTAGACTGACTCACTTCGCGTTACCAGTGACTTAATTTTGACTCTCTGAAAGCAAAATAACGTCGTTTGATAGTAATTATGCTATGACGACACCTGCTGACCGGCCAACGCACAAAAATATATCATCAGGTCAGTAAAAATTTGGATGATAACACCCAATGTCCCGAAACCCTAATTTAAGCTAATTTATACAACAGGATAAATTGGAGTTAATGTGATAACCATAAACCCGCCCTTACCAGTAGTGGAATCAGCTCACTTCCTTTCAGGGGTCACTTCCTGCATGTGACCCCTGTCACACTAATTGTTTCGCTCAGCCAATTAGATGCCAGCTATCACATGTACAATTGATGCCTATATTTTCGCGCCTAGCTCAGCAAAATAGCACTTCATATTCTTCTCTTCATGAATTGGAATTTTTGCTAAGCTGTTATGACGAGAGCACCGTTTAGGAAGGGCTACCTTGATCTTCCAACTGCATGCAAGCCCTAGGCGTTCGAGTTTTTCTGGACAGACTTTCCACGAAGAGATGTTGCTCCGCCGTTCTTGGTCGAACTCCGTCCTTGGAACATTGATCTACAATCGTGCAACCCTCGTCTCGAATGTCGCTGCTTTCTCCTCCTCTTGAACTTTCGATATCCTCTCGCATGTACCGTCACTCTAGTCGTTTCGACTCTCTCGGCTGGCACTTCACAGTCAAGGTTCCTCTGCAGCAAATCATCTTAGCCCAGTGTGTCTTCCTTTGGGATCTGAGTTGCTCTCTCATGATTCAGGTGCGGTATTTTTCTGGTTTATCGATAATTAACTTAATATTCTTATTATATTGTGCCTCGAACGACATCTGTTTTTGCAATATTGTGTGCATGTGACTGTAGTGAGAGCTTTGAGACATGGAAAGTTATTTTTGAGTTCACTTACTGAGTATTTTGAAGAAGGACTTGGCGCCGCGGCCTCTGAAATTCACTTTATTCAAGTCCAGGGGATTCAAGTATGCATGTCCGTGCTTTTATTATGCTCTTACTATGGAGTAAGAAAGAATACCGACTGTTAAAATCAAATCTGTGACGATTGGGACCTCTCTGTAGCCTGGGGACTTGATGGTTTGTTGTGGTTGTCCCCAGGGGGCCTGGGAATTATAACCTCTCTTCTTGTGGTTGTCCCCAGGGGGGCCTCGGAATGTACTATTGTCATTGTTTGAATAATTTGGTTGAAACCATACATTATACAGTTACTTTTAGTAGCTTACAAACAACAACCATGAGCATGTGTATTCCGATTTATCGATAAGGAATTGTTTAAAAATTTTGTCAATATATATTGGGTTCTCCCATCTCAGTATCTGGCCTTGACTTGATAGATACACCAGTTGCATCCAGTTTGTGTAATTAGTCAATTAATTGTGCTTAATTTACAGACTGATCCTTTGTTTTGTTATTTGTTATTGCATATCTCCTCATCTGCTGTGGAGGAAGTCTTAGGCCGCTGACCAACTTGTTGCTGTTCTTGGTTAAGTCCTCAGCTGATACCTAGTCAATGGGACATTTGCCCAGTCTAATCTTACAGCAATGTTCAAGTACCATGTGACCATTCTTTCAACTGACTTTTGACTATGGAAATAGCCCTACAATTCCTGTTGTTCGTCTATGGGGAATACCCCTTTGGGGTATTTGTGGAGATGAAGTGCTTCCATACAGGTCACACTTTGCCCCATAGACTCTTTTTACTCCTTAAACCATGGAATTAGACATCTAGAGAGGTCTTTCCACCTCTCCAGTACCCAAGGGGGATTATCACCTCCACTCACAACCTTGGGGGATTATCAACCCCTAGAGAGGATTATCACCTAGCTTCTCACTATCCTAGGGGATTATCACCCCCAAGAGAGGATTATCACCTCTCACTATCCTGGGGGATTATCACTTCCTAGAGAGGATTATCACCTCTCCCCTTGTAGATTTCGGACTGTTACACCAATATGTAGAGAAAAGTGACCTGCTGTCCATATTTGGAGTGCTTCATCCCTTACCCCTTTTCCCCATAATAATTCTGGTCTAGTTACTTGCTTATCTAAGGGGTTATGGGTTAAGAGCATTAAAGCTAATTTATACAACAGGATAAATTGGAGTTAATGTGATAACCATAAACCCGCCCTTACCAGTAGTGGAATCAGCTCACTTCCTTTCAGGGGTCACTTCCTGCATGTGACCCCTGTCACACCTATTGTTTCGCTCAGCCAATTAGATGCCAGCTATCACATGTACAGTTGATGCCTATATTTTCGCGCCTAGCTCAGCAAAATAGCACTTCATATTCTTCTCTTCGTGGAACAAAATCCCATCCCACCCTCCCTTATTACTGCCTGATTCTCTCTGCTGATTTTCTTAAGGTTTTATATATGAGGTCTTTTCTCTTTCTTAAAAATTTAATAAGCTGCTTATACTTTCTGCAGTCATACGAACCACTGATCTTTGTTGTTTACACTTTGAATCAATTTGCAATTGTCAAGAAGATATGGCAGAAAAGAGGTGGGGTTTCTACTGAGGGGAATCATTGTACCAGGCATCCTAACATGCTTGTACACTTAGTTACTTTGGGCCTTATTTTGATTATTAAGTTGATAAAAGTTTAATTGTCATTTACTTACAACTTCTATTAATATATTTTTGTCTAACCTCTCTCCCTCGAGATTCGTGTTAAGTGAAACTGCAACAAGCGTAAAGTCTCTTGGCCTTTTAATGACAACGCCACAAACCAAATAAGAATGAAGATTTATTGAGTGCACATACAAACGGCGTGGGTTGAAACTAAAACGATAAAAGAGTAAAAAAGTTACAAGTTGCGACTAAGGTAAATAAGAGTAAAGAAATAACAAAACTGCAAAACGAGGACTGTGAAATACACTTACATTGTTTCGGCCAGAGAAAACTGCTGAAGCGGACTGCGAATAACGCGAAGCTAGGGACTTGCAAAAAACTAAAACAGAACTGCGCTAAGCGCGGACCAAAATGAACTGCCCAAACTGTACTGCAAAATTACGATACGAAAAATACACTAGAACATGCGGAAAATAAAACTATAGAAACTTAGAAAGGCGCTAATGAAGATGAAACAGCAAAGAAACGTTAACGAGGGCGCGAAAACTAACAGAAAGGAATAAACACCTAAATTAACGCAAAAAAAGACTAAACAAAAGGACGAAAAGAAGTATGAACTAATTTGCGTACGCAAAGGAAAAACAAAAATCAAAAATCATTGCTTTAAGAGCAATCAAGACTGAGACACATCGCAAAATTCCATAGTTCATGTAGCTTCAGTTTAAGCTGCAATCTATTCTTTGAGATCTGATCACATCCGTGAGAATTTTTAATCATCCGGCTAAAAACGCCAACGAGCTGGGCCCAGCGTGACAAAACGTGGAAAAACCGTCACATTTACGGACAAAAATAAAGTCGTTTATAGTTATTCAGATCCGGGAGGCACTTCGGAGAAAATTAAACAACCTAAAACCCTTATTCAGCTGCAATAAAGAGCTTTACATTTCAAAAGAGGTTAACGAGAACGCTCTTTCATCCGAGACCATGCCGACCAGTGCGGAAAACGTAATAAACCGCAGAAAATCAATATGACCTCGCAGTATGAAATAAGTGACAAAAATCACATTTTCTCAGTCAAAACCTTTTTCCTTATTATCTAACCGTCAGAGAAAACATTCATTGGAACAAGCAGCATTTTGGCACGAGGTAGTGGTGTGTTGTCTACCGACCCCCTTTTACACTAGGGGAGACTGAATACCGAATGGAAACAACCCCTGTAGTTGGCCAGTGTTACGCCCAGGTTACGCCGGCTTGGACATGAGATACATTTTGGCGGACATTTTACTCTGTCCGCACAACGAGGTCAAGATTTCGCAACGAGGAAGTTTAATTATTAAGTAACTTTAAATGTTGAAACGTGAAGTTGAAAGTTGGGTGCCATAACTTATTAATGTTAGCCGCTCAAATTCAATGTTGAGGACTCAAGTTGATTTTTTGCTGGGATTGAACACCATAATCCAACACCTAAGGTTACCTGTATGAAGAGCAAAAAATCATGGAAATCAAACTCGATTCAAGACTACGGTTGACAAGTTTGTGATGGACAATGTCCGCTTCGAAGATGAGGGCGTGATCACTTGTCGCGCTGAAAAGTGTTTGAGGTTCAAGAGACTAAAGTTGAACTTACTGTTTTAGGTGAGTGGGTTATCTTCACTGTGTCTTTTTAATTTAGACGCATGAAAGATCATCGGGGTTCAGTATGTACGCGACCTAAGAAGTTGCGTAAAAAAAAGTCAGGATTGAACGGAATTCAAAACATGAATGACCTTCGCGGTACCGATGCAGTGCTCTTACCACACATGACTGCAAAGGCTG